TTTCCATGGTTTATTTAGGAATGTCCAGTTTGTATAGATATAGGAAGACAGTTCATGTTATGCTTTTGTAACATGGGAGTTAACTGACTCCAAAATAATAGCCACTCCTGGGCGCCCATATTTACTTGACGTAAGCTTCAGTTGCCCTTTGTTTTGAGCAGTCCAAAAACAGGATCCCGATGGAGGGCCTGGATGGATCCAGGGCAAGCTTTAAGATACCTTGGCACCAAAAGGGGACAAGCTAAGCACCATAAATATAATAAGTTAGATCACGGTCATGGAACAAACTTCATCATGACCCAAAAAGAAGTACTGAATAAGGACCCTGCTGGGGTTAGGAAAGACTAACCTGGCCTAAGGACTATGGTCTGGAATATATAGCGAGATGTCCCCAGGAAGACCCAATCTTTAAACTTAATATATCTTTTACTGTGTTCATACAAAATGATTAGAAATATTATAATAAGTAAAGTTACTATGATGGGTTACTAGCCGAGGAAAGGATAAAGAATACACCCTGGATGGAATCCTATCCTTGAGTGGATCTCTAAGTACTCTGGAGTGCTGAGCCCTCAGATGAGATTTTGTCCTTGAGTTAATCTAGAACTTTCCTTGAAGGAGTAGCTTTACCTTTGTTTGTTGTTATGACAATGGACAATGTTCAACCCCACCTGTGTGTACTCCCACCTTTCATGATTCTATATAACTATGCTGTAAGGGGAAAGAGGGGATTATGAGACTACGATGAGATGACTAGATGATGACTAGAAAGTAGAGGACTTTTAAATCTACGAGGAGACTACGATGATGGAACTATGACTGGGACTACGATCAAAACTATGACTATGATTGTGCTATAAGGAGAGAGATCAGACTACACTGAGGAGGAGGAAGAAATAAATTGACTACAGACCAGCCTGGGGCCCTGTTTCTCTGTTCCCTGGTCCTTTGTCCATCTGTCCTTCATCCGCCTGTCACCGTAGACTGGCCAGGGGAACGGTTCTTGGTCACCGAAGGCTCAAGTCCCGTGCCCCCACCTTTCTCTTGGAAACTCACACAGAAGTAAAAGTTAGAGGGGATTGGCATAGTTTGGGGCAACTTTTGATACAAAGAACCTCTGATAACCAGAATGCATAGTTGATAACCTGGATTGTCTGCCAGATTCATCTGTATTCACCCACCTGTATGATTCAGGATCTACTTCTTCCTTTCTCACATGGTAGTGTTCAAGGGTCATTCTTGGCTCTGTGCTCTGATGTAACCCCTGGTGGTGCTCAGGAGGACCATATGTGGTATCAGGGAACTGGCGTCCACCACATGCAAAGCAAGTGCCTTAACCCCTGTACTACCTCTCTGACCCTCAAGATTTATTTCTTTGAAGTCACACCCAGCGATGCTCAGGGGTTATTCCTAGCTCTGCATTCAGGAATTGCTCCTGGCAGTGCTCGGGGACCAAATGGGAAGCTGGGGATCAAGCCTGGGTTGCCTGTATGCAAGGCAAGTGCCCTACCCACTGTACTATCTCTCTGGCCCCTCAGGATCTTCTTTTGACTTAGATTATCGATAACTGCTAACTTTCTGGCACCCCATGTCTAATTCTTTTACTCTCCTGCTTAGAATCCTTTTAGGATTCCATATTATCTCCAAGATAAAAACCATAGCTATACGACTGGAGTGATAGCACAGTGGGGAGGGCATTTGCCTTGCATGCAGCCAACCTGGGCTGGATTCCCAACATCCCATATGGTCTCCTGTGCACAGCCAGCAGTAATTCCTGAGTGCATGAGCCAGGAGTAACCCTTGTGCATCGTCGGATGTGACCCCAAAAATAAAAAAACAAACAAAAAACCCCCAAGCCCCCAAAACCCATAGCTATTACTATCACATATAAGTCCCTTTTAGATCCGCCCCTGACCAAAGAGAACTCACGTTATCCTGTGGTACCAAAAATAGAAGGGAAGCAGAAGAGGTAGGGCACTTGCCTTGCATACAGCCACCCTGCAGCACCCCATATGGCCCCCTGCACCCTATCAGGAGCAATTCCTGAGCATGAGCACAGAGGCAGAAGTAACCTCTGAGCAGTACTGGGTGTGATACCAAAACCAAATAAAAAAAAATTTCCCTCCCTTCTTCCCTTTTCTCCTTCTTGTTCTTGTTACAATAGTGTGTGTTGTGTGTATGAGCGGTGGGGAGACTTTGCTCACATTTTCATGCTTACATTTAGTTATGCTACTTGCTGGTGGTCAGGTTGCAGTGCTTACAGTCAGTACTCCCCAGGATTTGTACTTTTTGTTTTTTTGGTGGAATTTTAAAAATTTTAGGCCACATTCAGTGGTGCTTAGAATTTATTCCTGGCTCTATGCTCAGTAAACACTACTGGCAGTACCCAAGGGACAATAAGGGGTGCCGGGGAATCGAGCCTGAATCTGTTGCCTGCAAGGCAAGTGCCTGATCCGCTGTATTATAGCTCTGGTCCCTGCACTCCCTTTTTTCCTGCAGCGCTTGCACATACACTTGCTGGGCAGATACTTTATTTGTGGCACAGACTCTGGTTGTAGTGCTCACTGGGAGTTGCTATGCTTATTTATCTTGCCTGCCAGAGGTCACACCTCCTGGCCATGGTGCTCACACCTCTTTTTCACTGTGGTGCTATATAAGAGGTCACACCCTTTTACACACCTGACTACAGTGCAGACACAAAGCATTTGTAGAGCCAGTGACTCGACAGCAGGGTATCAGGCTGAAACATAGATATTATTAGAATCATACTCGACACATGTGACAGCACCAGGGACTAAACTTTTGGGGGGATTATATGCAGTGATATTCAGAGCTTCCTCCCGGTGGTGCTGGGGGATCATATGGGATGCCAGGGATCGGCCATATGCAAGTGCCCTACCTGCAGTACTATGGTTCTGGACCCAGGGACTGAACTTTTGACCTTATGTCTGTAATGCAACGATTCTAAGCCACTGAACTATTCTTTTGGGCCCTGGCAATCTGACCTGAAGGCCAATCATAGTTTATCTAGGATCAAAAATTATAGATTAAGAACTAGTATAGATTGGGAAGAGGATTTCGAGTTTCTTTTTTGTAAATACCCAAATTACTTAACCTTGGGACACTGAAAAACCAGGGTTAAGAAATGTTATTGTGTTCAGCTTTCACACTGTTCAAGTGGGATGAGGAAAAAAAAGTGACAATAAGATGGATAGTGTCATCAATCACGGCCAGTAATTCTTTGAGTAGAAAGATGCTACCTAGAGTTCTTGACATTGCAGATTTGGAAAATCAAGTTACAGAAATAGCAGCTGTTCGGGCTGAGGCAGGAAGAGAGCTGAACTAAATCTCTATTATTCAACAAGTGGCTGCATTTGGAACTACCCTTTAGGAGAGAATTGAAATTTTTGTTTCTATCTTACAATTAAGTCCTGTTGCTGGTAGGAGAATTGGCTACCAACAGTAGGGCTCCCTAGGTGATTTACATAGAGTGTAGCCTAGGAGAAGAGAGCCTAGGAAAGGAAGCCTACCACTTTCCTAGTTCCCCACCTGACACTCAAGAGAAGTGCTTGGGGAAACTTAGAACTAATGAAAGTCTGCAATGAGCACCTGCAGGATACAGGCCTCAGTCTCACCAGCCTCATGAGGCAATTGAGAAACCCAGTGTGGGAGTGATCCCTGCCACTGATTTCTTTGGGAACTATGGAATCCAGGCTGGGGGAAGAATTGCTCTCTGCAGGAAAGAAAAGTCAAGTCTTAAATTCTGCCCAGGTTATCCAGGTTCATTGCCTTCCTTCACAGAACAGTATTTCAGAAGAAGATAAACAGCAAAGTAAAATCATTTTATTTGGGGAAACAAGGAGACAAAGAGTAGAGAGAGGGATACATGCTTAGGGAAAATGTGGACAATGAAATCGCATCTTAATTTTTATAATACGAAAGTGCAATCCAAAATAAACAAATGAGAGAGAGACAGAGAGAGTGTGCAAAGTGAAAACAAGAGTTCTCCAGAGTGGCTTTTGGGGATGATTATGTATGGATAGTTTCCATAACCGCCTTTATCCCAATTTTTTTTTACACAAGTAGGAGTTAATGGGGCTTTTCCTGAGTAAAAGCACCGAACTTCTTTCTGGTGGTCCATTCTTGAGTTCTTAGAGCAGCCTTCGCCCATGCATTCCAGGCGCCTCTCCGCTCAAGGATCCATCTGTGCTTCCCAACCTGGAATTCTGCGTTACAAAAGCTTTCCGGGCTCCACAGATGGGTTTTCTTTCTCCAAGACCATCATCATGCCTTTGAACTGGGTCCAATTCTTCCGACTTTGATCCCAACATGCATTCCCTGGGCCTCGGCTCTCTGCCCGCCATGGGCCCATCACAGGCACCCTTTCGCCCCGTTGCCTCTCACCAATACCAGTCATTTCATAATTAAGCCAACTTCTCTGCCATGCGCTGTCTCCTTTCTTTCTTAAAAAATCTATCTGGAAAAAAAAACACTAAACATAACAATAACAATAGTAATAATAAAATAAAGCCGTGCAATGCTTCTAAGATGGAAAGCAAAGCTTCCCTCCTCTCCCGCCCCGCCACCAGTTCCTGAAACGAAGGTCCTGAACTCGGCGGGCAGCTGGGCGTCTAAGGAAGGGCCGCTCGCGTCATGTGAGCTCCCAGAATGCCCAATTTCCCAACGCCCCGATCCCCGCGGATCGTGCGGGGCGAAGATCCCAAACTTCTGGCCGCGCCTCCCAGGCGGCTCCGCGGGGAGGCACTCCCGACGCGGTGCCCGCCGGAGGGGCTCCGGCGGCCGGGTGACTCAGAGGCGCGGGCGCCGCCCGGCGGGGACGCGCCCTAGCGGCCCCGGCCCGGCTCCGGCCCCGGGGAGCGGGCCGCCCTCCCGCGCGCCGCCCGCCGCATTCCTTCCCTCCGGCGCGCGGCGCGCTGACGTCATGACGCCGCGCACGCAGCCCCGCCCCTGCGGAGCTCGGCGTTCGGGAGGCGCCGGGGTTTCTCTCAGACCCGGAATGTAAGGCCTGGGGTCGCCGCTACCCTGCTGCCCGCCCGGCTCGCTCCGGGCCCCCCGCGTCCGCCGCCGCCGCCGTCGCCGCCGCCCGGCCGCCCGTCCCCGGAGAGGCCCGGGGGGCCGTGCCCTCGTGCCGTGTGCCCGCGTGGCCGCCGCCGCCGCCGCCGCCCCGCCGAATCCTCCGGGGCCGCCGACGAGTTCGCTACGGAGGGAGGCGGGGGCCTTCGGGAGGAGGCGGCGGAGGAGGCGGAGGAGGAGGCAAGGAAGATGGCGGCCGTGGAGCTCGAGTGGATCCCCGAGACGCTCTACAACACCGCCATCTCGGCGGTGGTGGACAACTACATCCGCTCCCGCCGAGACATCCGCTCTCTGCCCGAGAACATCCAGTTCGACGTGTACTATAAGGTGCGGCCCGCGGCGCCCCTGCCGCACCCCCTTCCACGTCGGCGCAGCCCCCGCCCGAGACGGGCGCTGCGGGGTCGGCGACGGCGCCGCCGCCCGCTCCCGGGGGAGACCCCCCCCGCCCCCAGCCCCCCTGCCCGGTGCTTCTGGGCTCGCACCGGTGCGTGGACCGGCCCCGCCGAGCCCCTGGCCCGCTCGGGCCTGCCCTCTCCCGGGGGTGCCTGATGGTCCGCGCTGGCTTTCCGGGTCAGTGTCCGAGCCTGCTGCCCCCCTCCTCCCCTCCCCCCCACCCCCTCCCGCGAGTACTCTTTTGGGCTCCGAGTACTCGCTTAGTTCGTTCACCCCCCTTCCACCCCTCACCCTTTCTCGCTCACCGAAAGGAAGTTGAGGAATTACTGGACATGATCGTGCGCGTTTCTCGCGTGTTCTTTCTTCGAAGCTGGCATGCTTGCAGTTGCTGGGGGTCGTGTGTGTATGTGTGTGCTTCTGCTGGGGGTCGTGTGTATGTGTGTGTGTGTGTATGCGCTTCTGCTGGGGGTCGGGTGTGTATGTGTGCTTGCTTCTGGGGGTCGTGTGTGTGTGTGTGTGTGTGTGTGTGTGTGTGTAACAGGGAAAGGGAACTTACAACTAATTGAACAGGAAGGGGAGAGAGTTGCTTGCTGAAACAAACGAAAAACGAGAATTCAGACTGCAGCTGTGTTTGAAAGTTGCAATCTTGCAGCGTTCCTAAGTCGCTCCCCCTCAAAAATCCGAACAAAGTCTCCGAGTCACTCTCCAAGGAGTTTCAAGGGTGAGAGTCATCCGATGTGGACAGATTTTTGCAATGTAGAGCGAAGGAGGAGAACTTGATGGACTCGGGAGCCTCCCTTTTCTTCCTTACCCCTTCATTTGAAAGTGAACAGTGGATTTATTATTCAGTTTTCCTTGCTTTGAAATCCGCATGGATAGCGCCTATTCTCTGGTAGCCACCCATGCAAAATTTGACCATAAATAGAGAATGATTTATTTTTTAGATCTTAAATACTTCCTTTTGCTTTGTCCTTGGCTGAACAGCGTAAACTGATATTTAACAGATGTGTATGTGCTTATATATGTATGGTGTTAATGGCAGTTGTTTTGTTGGGAAGAATGCCCATTTTTCTCCACCCCCTGAAATATTTTTTTAGAGAGCAGCTGACTTGCTACATTCTACTAAATCCAGATGCTTTAAGCCAGTTCTAACAATTGAAATGTTTTTCCCCTTAAATATTTGGGCCAGGTTAGTCATTCATGTTACTGTTTGGGGATGAGGGGGTTTAGAGAAAACTTTGCTACACCAACCTTTTACTTTTGGTACATTGATTTATTTTTTATTATATCGAAGATACTGTGTTTAAGATTCATTCCTCCCAAGAAATGATGAGATTGTCTTTTTCATCCTAGGGAACTATGTCTAATGCTACCCATTTTATTAAGTCATATATTTGTATATATACAGTTTTTAGAGGAAATTGTTGGATTTCAATATACCAGAGTACATTAAAGATTTGAATTTCTTCCATAAATGCTTGGATTTTTTTAGTCGCTTTTAGTTCATATTGGAACTTTACATTTGAGGATTGTTAGTAAGAACGGTATTTTTGCCATATTTTCTCTTTCACATAGTTTACAAAGTTTTAATATTGGTTCCTCATGGTACACTTTTACTCCATAATGGTGTTTGCCTGTTGGGCGTATGGCGCTGTGCTATGTGAAAGAGGTTTTCAGCATATACCGGGAACTGTAATGCGTTACACGTTACCTTATTTACTCCCTATAGTTAAGTTGTAGAATAGAAAATGACCCTATTTCATAGGTGAGGAAGTTAAATAATGTAGTCGAGGTCTCGTGTCTAGTATTGAGTTTCCCTATACTTGCTTTCTTGCTTTGAGAGATTGTGGATTTGGGGGATGTGGCTCGGTTTTTAACTGCAGATAGAAGACAGAGACTACTTGTTGAGGTAGTAGATCATTTAATGACATTGTAGAGCAGATTTTATTAGTTATGCAACTAGAGTAAGAACTCCATTCTTAAGTGTTCATCAGAGCAAGGAACTTTTTTGTGTTGTAAACACGGTATCAATACATGTAGTGTGTTTGTGTATGTACAGTTTGTACATACACAAACACTTTGTATTTTAATATTTATAAGATACTTATATTCAACTTGCTATAATTTTTCGAGACTTACTGTTGACAGTTTTATATTGTCTTTTAGTTAGATCAAAGAAGAAATTCAGTCATATTCCACCAGTAGTGGACATAGTCATAGACACAATTACAGGATTTGTGGACTGAAAATTCCCCTTTTTTTGGGGGGGGGTGTAGTCCTGTTTTGTTTTGTTTTTTTTTTTTGTTTTTAGGCCAAACCCAGTGGTGCTCAGGACTTGCTCCTGGTTCTGCACTCAGGAATTCTAGTGGGCTCTGGGGATCATATGAGATGATGGGGATCAAACCTGGGTCAGCTGCATGCAAGGCAAATGCCCTACCCGATATCTTAATGACTCTGACCCCATGTTGTGTTAACTTCATAAGGAACATAGGTGAAATCACAGTCATAACACTTTAGGGTAGAAGGATAGGTGACATAAGATTGCTTCATTACTCCTAAAGAAGGAAGTAGAGAAAGGGCAAAATGTGAGAGAGAATGAAGGACATTAGAATACATTTATTGGCTTGATGGAAGTAACCAAGAGAACCTAGGAAACAGCTCCTGTGCAGGAATATAAGTTAATGAGTTATACTCCTTTGCTGTGCATAAATGAAGGTAGCAGCCTTAAATCCTTAAATCGGAGTTGGAAAGAATGCATTATCCTCTAACATCAGCTGGAAAGGGTTAAGGACATAACTATCAACGTAGGTAAGTTTGCAGAGAAGGGTAATCGTGAATAAGTAGAATAAAATTAAGAGTGCTAGCTTTTAGTGGAGGAAAGCTAAGGGGAAATTGGAAATGCTGCTGCTGAGGGGAAGGGTTGGTAGCTCACTAAAAGTGCTTAATTACAATATGTTTAATTTACTCAGAAACCTAGATCTTAATGTGTAATACACGTGTAGGGTCTCAGTGGGGGGGTGTCATGACCATTAGTTTGTGGTCGCCCATCTCTTTGCTCCCCGGCTAGGGATGCAGGGAAGGCAATTCTTGGCCCCTGAATGCACGCATTGTGCACACAGTTTCACACTTTGAACTCACACATGTTGACTAAGAAATTTATTTTTTTAATTTTTGAAAAGGAATATAGAAAAAATACTCACATATATACCTAAGATATATAAGGATCTCACAAAACTCATCAAGCGCGCGCGCACACACACACACACACACACACACACACAGACATCAAAAATAGGTGGTGAGCCTGGTGTATTTAATCATGACTATTAGAAAACTACTTTTATTGGGAGGGTGGGATGGTTTGGGGCAAACCAAAAGCCTGCAGTGCTCAGGCTTTGCTCTTGGCTTCATGCTCAGGGATCACTTTCAGGGGTTGGGGAAGGAACAATGTAGTGTTGACACAAAAACAGTAATTGATTTATAGAACACAGTAGAAAATTTACAAGGAAATCCAGGGAGAGTAAAGAATTTCCTTTATAATAAAGTTATAAGGCTCTGATAAATCAGTGGAGGAAGACCTAAGAGATAATATCTGGGTTTAGGTGTAGGCCTTGCATGTGGCTGATGTCTGTCTGATCCCTGGTGCTACATGTACCTTTAGCATTTACCTTGCACCATGGGGACTGCAGCAGAATCATGTTCTTGGGACCTGTCACTGAATTACCAGGAGGGGTTTTGTTTTGGGCCCTAACCTGGGAGTGCTCAGGGCTTACTCCTAGCTTTTTGTTCAAGGCTTACTCCTGTAGATGCTTGGGTTCCAGGAATTGAACCCAGGCTGGCTATATGCAAGGCAGGCAAGTGCCTTATCCCTATAGTATCTCTCCAATGCCCTTTAAATTTTTTTCTTTACTATAATTACTTATTGATGGGATGTCTGTGTTTGTTATTGTACACTGTAGCTTCTCAGTTCTAAGAATCTGATTAAATATCACCAGTCTGTGTTCCATGCTGATTTTTGCGTATTGCTATCATAAAGTGCAGCTTCTGCAAAGATGTCATTGAAAGAACAGTAGAAGTCTAATAGTTGACATGGTGTAATACAAATATTCAATATTGTTTTATTAATTTGAAATATTGTGTTGTGTCCCAGGGCATCTTGATGCAGTTCAAAAACTGTGGGTATGTAATATGGTTCTATTTATATAGTTTAAAAATGGAAAATTGGACTGGAAAGGAGTACAGCGGGTAGAGTGTTTGCCTTGCATGCGGCTGACCTGGATTTAATCCCAAATGGTCCTCATAGCTCTACCAGTAGTTATCACTGAGCAGACCCAGGAATAAGCCCGAGTACCACATTTTTTTTGGTGTGGCACCCCCACACCAAAAAAAATTTTGTGGGGGGGGAATTTATTGTACCAGAAGGTAGGAGTGGTTATACCCTTGAGGGTAGTGACTCTTCAGGAGCATGAAGAGAGATTTCTTGATTTCTGGTAATTTGTTTTGTGGTGTAGATGCTGTGATTTATAGTGTTCTTACTGGTTAGGTTTCATGGGTGTGGTGTTCTACCAACACAACCTCTACTAGAGAATCCACTTCTTTCACCACCATTGTATCAGTTTCCTTCGACTCATGCTGTTGGTTCCCCCACCTCCCAAGCCCAGTTTTGTAGTCCAATTCTTAGCTTCTTTTGCCTTTGAGCATTTGCTACTGGCAACAATTTTAAAGTTTATAATCTAGAATACAAAATGTGCTACTACGGACCTAGGGAGATAGTACAGTGGGTAAAGGGTAAGGCCTTGCTTTGCCGGTGCCCAACCCAGGTTAGTCTGGCATCCTTTATAGTCCCAGAGCATTGCCAGGAATGATTCCTGAATGCCACCCTGGTTATGCCCCCCCCCAAAGCAAACAAAATTGAGTTATACTAGCCCCTCTCTACTGCCTCATTAATGTCCTAATTTTCACCAGATACTGGACAGTGCAGTGCTACCCAAGTATTAAGATTCCTGAAATATATCAAGTTATTAATGATTGGTTATCACTCTTTGATTTTACATCAACTATTTTGTTTAGACCCCCATATCTTGGTTGCATCTAGCACTGATAAAACATTGCTATCTTTTTTGTTTTTCTCTTTCCAGGGACCCCCACCCAGCACATGGTCAAGTCAGGATTGCTTGGGCTCACATGTTTGGCACAAGGGCTTAAATTTAGGACTTAAACTCCTGCACTCTCTTTTCTTCACCACTGAGCTGTTTGGGGTCCCTTTTCTCTGTAGGTCCTCTAGAAGCAGAGTTGTTAGAATTAGGTGCTTTTAGGCAGCAGCAGGATTTAAACTTGAGGCTATGGATTTTCCAGCAACTTTAAGCCACAAAACCATCTTCTTACTCCTCTTGCTGGAGATTACAAAATAGTGGGACTCTCCTGAAATCAGTGCAAGTAGCAGCACTGGGGCCTTGCACTTGATCTGTAGGTTCCATTTCCAGCTCTTCTCTTTGCAGTGTCTTTACTTAAATGATACTTTTTATCATATAGACTCTGCAGAGGTTACTACAGTTTGAATTTTAATGATACAAAGTATTCTCATCTCTTCTAGATATTTTTGCCTTTGACTCTGTGAGAGCTTCATGGGTTTCACTGTATTTAGAGACCAGTTTTCTTTGGGTGGGTGGGGGTCTATACCCTGCAGTATTCAGAGCTTCCTCCTGCCTCTGTGCTCAGGGATCACTCCTGCTGGTCCTCAGAGTACCACATGAGATGCCAGGAATTGAATAGGGTCAACTGCATAAATTTGAACCTCACGTGTAAGGAGTATGAATTTACTTAGATATAGATCCGAGAGGGAATATTTCAGTTTTCACAGCAGATTTATTTATTGCTAATGCTCTGGACAGTGTTCTAGACTTTTTATTATTATTATTATTTAAGCAGATAATTCTGCTTTAGATCTACCTTTTCTTTCTTTTTTTTTTTAAAGTATCTGTCTGACCTCTTAACTGGTTTTTTAATTCTAGCTAATTAACCTGGAGTCACAGTCTCATATGGTTGTGTAACTGAATATGGGGGGGGAGGCTCAAAAAGTTTGGCAATTCATAATCAAACCTTTAATGAATCTGAGGAATTTCTGGCAGTACTTGCCCATGTTTCATTTCTCAGACAAAAAATGGGGGGGGGGTTGCAAGTGGAAAAAGTTTAAGGAGCATACCCATTCAGAGACATGAACTGTTGTTTTTCTTTTCTTTTTTTCCTGCTGTTTTGGTCTGTTTTGTATCTGTACTTTTGGTAGCAGAGTTTGAAACTTAACTACTAATAAAGTTTATGATGCTTTTTTTTTTTTTTAGTTCAACATTTTCCTGTTTGGAAATGGGCTGGGTTTCAGAACTATATTGCCAGAAACTTTACCCTCATTTCTCTTTAAACTTCTGTTTTTGTTTTTGGACCATGCCTGGCAATGCTCGGGGATCACTCCTGGCAGTGTTTAGGGGATCAGTCTCAGGTCAGCTGTGTGGAGTCAAGTACCTTATCCATTGTACTGTCTTTCCAGCCCCCTCCCATTTCTTTTTTAAAACTCAACTGAAGTTTTTCCTTAGAATTGGAATTTTAATTGTGTTTCTAAAGCACTCTGCCTTCTTCCATTGTTCACAGGTTCAGTAGCCTATGTACATTAGTTATTTTTATTTGTCCTCTTATTCTAAATGTTTTGAGATTGGAGATAATTCTTACTGTCTTTTAAGATCAGTGAACACCAACATGTAACAATGTCTTACTCAAATATTTCTGATACTAAGTTAATAAAAAACAAGTAAATTAGAATGTTTCTACCTCTAATATCCTTTCCTTTGATGGGGAAAATCACAAAGATAAAAAATATGCTCTTAAGAGTTTTGTGTAATGAATATATCAATATTGAAGACCAATGTTTCTGTCTAGTTCTAGGGATAATCAAACCCACAGTCTCACACATGCAAGTCATGTGCTTTATACCACTTGATCCACATCTGTGGCTTCAAGAAAGCAACTTTTTTTAAGTTGAACAAGGTGTGTTTAGATTTTGCTCTTAGGTTTTAACATTTAGGTAGCAACATACTGTTTCTTAATAACTCTCAACTAACTTTATATTCATTTTTTTCTCCGGGCCAGAAAGAGTACAACAGTGCTTACCCAGTTTCAATTCCTGGTACCATTTATGGTTCCCCTAACATCACCTGGAGTGATCCCTAAGCTCAAATCTAGGGTGGAGTAAGCCCAGAACACCACATGTGGCCCCAAAACAACAATTTAAAAAATCAGTTCTTTTCTGAGTTTATTACATGAGTACTGTCCTACACAGAGCTCTGTGGAAACAATATTTTGCCTAATAGATTGCCTAGTAAATGTATCTCTTGTTTTTGGGCCCAACTAGCAATGCTCCTGGCTCTGTGCTTAGGGATACTCCTGATGGTGCCTGGGTGACTGTGTGATATGCAAGATTTGAACCAGGGTTCTGGTGGCCATAGTTGCCTGCCAGGCAAGGACATTAACCTTTTAAAAATTTTTTTGGTTTGGGGGATCACTCATGGCAGGCTTGGGGGACCATATAGGGTCCTGGGGAGCAAACCCAGGTCAGTCATGTGCAAGGCAAGTACCCTATCCTTGGCATTGTCTCTCCAGCCTCCCAACCTTTTTAATGTCTTTCTGAACCATGAATTTTTTTCCCCCGGCTTTTTGGGTCATACCCGGCATTGCACAGGGGTTACTCCTGGCTCATGCACTCAGGAATTACTCCTGGTGCGCTTGGGGGACCATATGGGATGCTGGGAATTGAACCCAGGCCGACCGCATGCAAGGCAAACGCCCTACCCTACCCGCTGTGCTATTGCTCCAGCCCTCATGAATGTATTTTTTTAACTAGAAAAATGAACAGCTGAATTTCAGCTGTAAATAGGGCATATTTACAATATATTTTTAAAATTACAACTAAGACAGAAACCTAAATAATAAGTTTCAGATTGCATTTTGTAGGACACACCAATTTTAAGTCATTAGAATGATGAATTGTAGATCATGAAAGGTTTAATTGTCTGGAACCAGGGCAATAGTACAGAGAGTAGGGCACTTTGCTTGTATGAAGCTGACCCGGGCTCGATCACTGGTATCCCATATGCTTCCCCGAATCCCATTAGGAGTGATCTCTGAGTGCAGAGCCAGGAGTAAGCCCTAATGATCATTGTTGGGTGTGGCCCCAACCGCCACACCCTCCCCCAAAATTTGTCTTTGACTAATGAGTACTGCAGAAAAATTCTACAGCTTGTCATCTTTTTTGAAAAGACAATTTGAAACCTTAGTTCTTAGTGCTGAGATTATTTTAATAAGAAATTAAGAGTCTTTTTTTCTCTTGTGCTAGTTTTGTGATTGTGTGTTCTGAGTACTTCATTTGTTCTGCTCTAGATCAGAACTTTACATGTTACTCAGTGATCAATAAGGAATTTGCTCACAAATGCAAAATTTTATTTTCTTTGTTATTCTAATGTTTAAAAGTTTAAAGTGAAAAAGACCGTGATGATTTGTAGTTAATTTTACTGTGTACATTTCCAGTAGATTTTTTTTTTTATTGACCTCCTCAAGCTATGCTTCAGGTGTCCCTGGGACTCCCTGCTAGTTGATAACTTGGCAACTTAAAATAGTTCAGGAGTTCCTTGCTGCTTGGGTTATTGGTGCCAGGGACCACCCTGGGCTACCTCAGCAGCACTGGGCCTGCTAGAGCTGTATCCAGCAGTTCCTGGAGGCCGCATGGTGCTGGGGTTTTTACTTTTGTCCTTGCATGTATGCCTGATCAGTGAGCTGTATCCCTGGTTCTCAGTTTTTGTTTTTGTTTTTTTTTAAGTAAAATGGTATCGGTCCCCCAAATCTCCAAGTTTTGTTTTCCAACTACTTTGTAAATAAAACATTTTTGCCTCTGTTCCCTCAGGCACTTGAAATGGATTTTTCAAAGCAATCATTCTCTATTAGTATCTATGTAGTTTGACGCAAACCATTTGATAGCTGAAATTCACCTTAACATTATTCTCATGCCCACATTCTTATTAACTTAACAAAGTACCTACAATATCAGGTAAACTACTAGGACAAAATTCCTGTCTTCTAAGTCACTAAGATATATAGCATATGAAATTCAAAAGTATGTGGTGAAACTGAAACTGGAGCAGAGAAGAAGAAAATAGCATTTGTCTTTTTAATATTTGTGCATATATTAAAATAAATTGATAAAATTTTAATTTTATTTGAAGTTTTGGGGGAGTTGGGTGGTCAGGTGTTGGGGAATGGTGGAAGGGAAATGGAACATTGGTGGTGGGAAATGTACACTGGTGGAGGGATGGGTGCTGGTTCATTGTATGACTAAAACCAATTTTGAACAGCTTTGTAATGCTCTATCTCATGGATATTCAATTTAAAAAATTTTTAAAAAAGTAATGTGGAGTTCATGTCCAATTCAATCAGTTTAATCAATGGCTGAATAAATAGTACTCCTACATTAGAAAAAAGAAAATAAGTTTTTATGTTAATAAGTTTTTATGTTCTTTAGTATGTAAACAATTGCATAGCACTCTGTAGTACTTCTGTATACCAGATACTATTTTACAAATAATAATTTCATAAAATTATATGTGTTGGTGTTTTTTATATGAATGTTAGCATTTCATTTCTCTGTAACGTTTTTCCTGATAATACTATTTAATTGTATTGACTTCGAGTGATAGGTATTAAATTCATCATGAATAGAATCCATAAAATTATATTAAAGTATAATTAAAGTAGAAATTAAATTTTTTTAATTATCTTTTTTTTTTTTAATTTCAGCTTTACCAGCAGGGACGCTTATGTCAACTGGGCAGTGAATTTTGTGAATTGGAAGTTTTTGCTAAAGTATTGAGAGCTTTGGATAAAAGGTAAACTTGCTTTTTAAATGATAAAATATACATAATCTAAAATATACCACTGTATTCAATTTTTGGTATCTAATTCAAATTGGTATCAAATATTGTTGGTTTGTTTCATTAGTAATATAGTTTCACTGTTCAGGGCTAACTTTGAAATGTAACCTGTGTACAAGATAAACTTGTTCGTTACTTGGTTAGTACTAATCTGAGGTCCCAAAATAATAGCTTCATTTTGGTAAAGAAGGTAATAGAAAAACTTGAAACAATATTTTTCTTTTTTTTTTAAATTTATTTATTTATTGAATCACTGTGGGAAAAAGTTAGAAAGCTTTCAGGTTTAGGTCTCGGTCATGCAAATATCAAACACATTTCCCTTTACCAATACTTATTTTTCACCACAAAGAACCCCAATAAACCCCCACCCCCCACTCCTCCCAATGCCTGTGAGGCAGATGAATTCTAGTTAACACTCTATCTACTTTGACGAGATTCATTGTTTCGATAAAAGATGCACCATTATTATTTAGAGTTTACACCCCCAAATCAGACATGCTGAAAAAGCATTGTGAAATGATTTGCTTTCTTCAGCTGGATTGAAACAATATTCTTTATTTTGGGGGGGTTGAGAAATTGTACAGGGGTAAGGTACTGGGCCTTGCATATGGCCAACCCTGTGTTTTGTTTTAATTTTTGGGCAACAACTAGCAGCTCTTGGAACGTACTACTAGCTGTGCACTGAGGGATCACTCCTGGTGGGAGTTGGGGGAGACTATCTGTGGTGCCAGGGATTGAACCCAGGTCAGGTGCACGCAAGTTAAGCAGCCTGCCGATTGTACTATTTCTCTAGCCACTGACTTTGGTTGATCCCCCGGTACCACATAAGCATGCCTCCCCCGATACACTGTCAGATGTGGCCCCAAAACAAACAGAATCTTTTAATATAAGAAAAGGTGATTTTTCTAGAATTTGAATTTTGCAATGCAGTTCTAAACATAGCCATTGTCTAGAACATAGCTACCTTTGTTTCGTCTCTCAGGTTATCGTCCAACATACCCAAATCCTTTGGTAAGTATTTGTGAAACATAAAGCATGTAGTTTGACTTTGATCCAAAGCAGTGACCCCAGGGCCAGAGTGAAGTGGATGGGTACTTGCCTTGCATGCAGCTAACCCAGGTTTGATCCCCGGCACCCCCTATGGTCCTTGAGCCCAGCCAGGAAAGATCCCTTAGTGCAGAGCCAGGAGTTAGCCCTGAGAACATCAGGGTGTGACCCAAAAACAAAAGTGACTCCATTATTTACAGTTAAGAAAAAAAATAATAATAACTGCCAGAGAGATAATTCAGTGGACTGGAGTACATGTTCTGATGCAGAAGCCCTAAATTCAATTTTCAGCACCACTGGGAGCAGCCTCCAAGCTCAGAGCTGAGAGTCATCCTTGAGAACGATTAGGTGGGACAAAAAACCTTGAGACACAATCCACATACTAAAAAATTTGCCACTTAAAATTGTGTAATTTCAGTGGCTATTAGGTATTCACCAGGTTTTACAGCCATCGTGATTTATCTAACTTTAGAACATTTTCATTCCCAACTCCTCACCCCATAACCCTATACAATTAACAGTCACTCCTTATTTTTTCTTACCCCAGTCCATAGCAGACTATTAATCTGTTTTTTTGTGTGTGTTTGGTTTGGTTTGGGGGCCACACTCAATGGTGCTGAAGGCTTCCTTTCGGCTCTGCGCTCAGGGATCACTCTGGTGGTTTAGGGGAACCTCTGGTGCTGGGAAATTGAACCTGGGTTGATGTGTGCAAGGCAAGCAGCACCTTAGCCTTTGTTCTAGCTCTCCTCACCATTAGTTTGTTTTCTGTCTCTGAATTGCCATTCCAGACTTTGCGTAAAATGAAATCATACGTTATTTCGTCTTTTGTTGCTGGCCACTTTCAGTTTGTTGAATTTTTTAATAGAAAATTTTTTCTAATTTATTGTTTTTTTGGGAGGTCATACCCAGAGATGCTCAGAGATTACTCCTAGCTTAACACTCTAGAATTATTCCTGGCAGTGCTCGGGCGACCAGATGGGATGAGGGGGATTGAACCCAGGTCATTCTCATGCAAGTAAACGCCTTACTGCTGTTCTATCACCTGGGCTCCTGCCTTTACAAATTACGTAGTTTTGAAGATTCATTTGTAGTATTGCTTGTATCAATTTTTTTTCTCCTTTTGATGACTGAATAATTTTCTGTTGTATGGATATGCTGTGTTTCATTTATCCAATCATCTGTTTAACATTTGGATTGTTTCTACCTTTTGACCATTAGAAATAATAATGCTTTGAACATTCATGAACATGGTTTTGTGCAGACATTTGGTTTTAGTATGTTAAAGTAAGTTTAGTATGTTTAGTATGCTAAAACATATGTTTAGTATGTTTAGTATGTCTCTTTGGTATGTTACACGGATATATACCTATGGTATCCTTCTATTTAACTTTTGAGTAAATTCTGTACTATTTTCCACAGTTACCACTCTTTTACTGTCAACAATAGTCAAGGCATCCAGTTACTGCATATCCTTGCCAGAACTTTTTAAAAAAATACAGTCATTCTAACAGGTGTGAAGTAGTATTCGTTGTACTTTTGGTTTGCATTTCCCTAATAACTAATATAGCTGAGCATCTTTTATACTTATTAGCCACGATAGATCGTGGATCTGTCGATGTGTGGATAGATAGATACTGGTTTAGGGATCATACCTGATTGTACTTGGGGCTTACTTCTGGCTTTGTGCTCAGGGATCACTCCCTGTAGTGCTTGGGAGACCATAAAGCTGGGAATTCAGCTGGGGTTGACTGCTTACGAGTTAAGTGCCTTATCTCCTGTACTATCCTTCTGGCTTCAGCCACTTGTGTATATCTCTTGAGAAATGTCTAGTCAAATTAATTTCCCATTTTAAATTTAGGACAAGGGGACTCTCCATCGGGCATTACTATGGGACTACTTGTGGTGGTGTTAGGGGCTCCTCCTAGTGTTGCTGAAGGACAATGAACAACAGAGTTTGAATCCAGGTTTTCTCCATGCAGAGCATGTACTCCAGCCTGTAGACTCTCTCTCTTTCCCCAATTGTCCATTTTTAATTAGCTTATTGTTAGAATACTATTTTTAAAAACATGTTAAGTGTTAAATGTACTTGTTTCTATTTATACACTGTACTCTTCCTGAGTCATGTAGGATAACTTAGTAATCCATTGAGTAAAGATATAGGTTAAACTATAAATTATCATGACCTCAGTTCATAAGGCAAAACATTTGTTAGTGCTTGGAGGGCATTCATGGCAGGACTTGGGGCCTGAGATCGCTTGGTGGTGCTTGGTCTATCCGTGCTGGGGCCCAGCAGGACCTCACACATGCATAGCATGAACACTACCATTTGAGCAACTTCTCCAAGCCCAATTGAAGCTTTTTTATCTTACTCCATCTTGGTAAATAATAGTACTATTGCTTTAAGAAAGGAAGCTAGCACTTTCTGTGATACAGAATACATCACCTTATAAAATACCTTTTTATTCTCTTTCAGACACTTGCTTCATCATTGTTTCCAGGCTTTGATGGATCATGGTGTGAAAGTTGCTTCAGTCTTGGCATACTCATTCAGTAGACGGTGCTCTTATATAGCAGAATCAGATGCTGCTGTAAAGGAAAAAGCCATTCAGGTTGGCTTTGTTTTAGGTAAGTAATGGTAAAACAGTGGAATGTGTTTTCCTGTGACTCAGTTCATTCTGTTAACAATGAAAGACTTTCCCAGGCTAGTCCCAAAGTTTACACTTGGAGAAAAACATAAGGGAATAAATGTGATTTATTGAAGGTTAATGTGTTAAGCACCATACTCATATTTAAATGCTTTGTTCTGAAGCCTCATTTCATACCAATGATAGGATGATATTAATAGCATTTTACAGGTGAGGAAACAGACTTAAAAGTCAAGTTGCTATGGTGTTGGTGCTAAAACAATAATAGTGGGTAGGGAGCTTACTTTGCATACAGCTAAGCTAAGTTTGATTCCTGGCACCCCCATATGGATCAGGAATAAGCTCTGAGCACTGCTGGGTGTGGAAAACCCTGCTCCACTCCCCACCTCACTGGTCTTATAACTAGGGGTAGAGCTCACTTTAGCGCCCTGCATTTGTGTTGATTCCACACTACATATTTACTACCTTGGCCAGGCTGCCATCAGTTTCACTAGTATATTGTGTGCTGTGATGGGACACTTAATCCTTTTGGTGTCTCAGTTTTACATCTCTAAAATGTGGGTAGTACTCCTGGGAATATATCCCGGAGATGCAAAAAAGTTCAGTCGAGATGACATCTGCACTTATACGTTCATTGCTGCACTGTTCACAGTAGCCAAAATTTGGGAAAAAAACCGAGTGCCCGAGAACAGATGGCTGGTTAAAGAAACTTTGGTACATCTACACAATGGAATACTACGCAGGTGTTAGAAAAGATGAAGTCATGAAATTTACATACAAGTGGTTCTACATGGAAAGTATCATGCTAAGTGAAATGAGCCAGAAAGAGCGGGACAGACATAGAAAGACTGCACTCATCTGGGGAATATAAAGTAACAGAATGGGATTCAAACACCCAAGAATAGTTGAGATAAGTACCAGGAGGTCTGCGCCAAGGGTTGGAAGCCGGGAGCACATGCTGGGGGAAAAGGCAGCTCAGATAGAGAAGGGAACACCAAGTAAAGGATGTTTGGAGGACTTGCTCAAGATGTGAGGTGCGTGCTGAAAGTAGACTATAGACCGAACACGATGGCCACTCAATAACTCTGTTGTAAACTACAAGACCCTGAAGGAAAGAGTGAGCAAAAGGGAATGCCATGCCACAAAGGTGGGATGGGGTGGGGGCAGATGGGGTGTGGGGATGGCAGGGCTACTGCGATCATTGGTGGTGGGGAATGGGCACTGGTGAAGGGATGGCTACTCGATCATTGTATAACTGAAACCCAAGCACGAAAATTTGTAAGTCTACACCTGTACCTTGTGTTTCACTAATTAAAAAAATAATAATTTTAAAAAATGGGGTAATTTAGTATTTCCTACTAGGGATAGATAGAAAAGCATTCTGAAAAGGCTTTCTGTAATACAAAAACATTGTTTAATGTTTATAAAAACTAACTTTTTGGATTTCACAAATTTATGTAGATAGGTATGTCCAAGACATTTTAATAAAGTTGTTAGTTTTGGTGCCACACCTGACAGTATACAGGGGCTACTCTAGGCTTCATCCTGTTAATACTCAGATTTAACAATCTTTGGGATTTGATATGAGAAGATTGAAAAGTAACGTTTGTGGCTAGAGCAATAGTACAGTGGGTAGGGTGTTTGCTTTGCACATGGCCAATCCGGGTTTGATTCCCAGCATCCCATATGGTCCCCTGAGCACCACCAGGAGTAATTCCTGAGTGCAGAGCCTATAGTAATCCCTGTGCATCGCTGGGCGTGACTCAAAACATCTAAATAAATAAAATAATGAAAGTAATGTTTACCCAAATGGAATATTAGAATCATTAATATATAGTATCGAACTAGAAAATGTCAACTCTTAGGCTGCAGAGTATACTTAGATGGTTAAAACTTTGACTTACTGTCTAGGGGGCTGGAGCAATAGCACAGTGGATAGGGTGTTTGCCTTGCAAGTGGCCAACACAGGTTCGATTCCCAGCATTCCATATGGTCCCCTGAGGACAGCCCGGAGTAATTCCTGAGTGCAGAGCCAGGAGTAACCCTGTGCATTGCCAGGTGTGACCCAAAAAGCAAAAAAAAAAAAAAAAAACCCACAAAAAACTTCGACTTACTGTCTCAACTTTGATCCTAGTTTGAAATTTTATTTCACAATAGCTGTCTTTACACGGGGGGGGGGGGTAAACATAGAACTTTAGATTTATTTCTTTATTTTAGCTAACACAACTTTTGTTTGTCATTTTTATTTTCTCTTTGTTAAAGTTGCTGTTTTTACTTGTTCTCTAGGTGGTTTTCTTTCAGATGCGGGCTGGTATAGTGATGCTGAGAAAGTGTTTCTGTCCTGCCTTCAGTTGTGTACTCTGCATGATGAGATGCTTCACTGGTTTCGTGCAGTGGAGTGTTGTGTAAGGTAAGTTGTTACAGATCTTACAGTGCCGTGCTATAGTGTAATGATTTTATGTATTTTAGGTCTTTCAGGCATAACTTCAGCATTTGAATAAACTCTAGTGTGGTGGTATCTGTAGCGTAGTTTCACTAGTCTGGCCCTCCTGTCTTAATCTCCAAAATATAAGAAACTTTCTAGTTTGTTTAAGTATGATAAATCAGCCCGTAATTTATGTATATTTTTCATGTCATAGAGTTTTTTCACTCATTAGCAGACAATCATTCAATGCTTAGTGTGTGTAAATGGATAAGCATTTTACTTTAAAAATGTTTGCTCTTGGGGCTGGAGCAAAGCCGGTAAGGTGTTTGCCTTGAACGCGGCCGACCCGGGTTCCATTCCCAGCATCCCATATGGTTCCCCAAGCACTGCCAGGAGTGATTGCCTGAGTGCAAAGCCAGGAGTAACCCCTGAGCATCACCGGGTGTGACCCCAAAAGAAAATAAATAAATATATTTGTTCTCCCTGCTCAGCAGTGAGGGTGCTTACCTTATACATAGCCAGTCTATGTTCAAAACACCATAAGTCACTGGGAGTGATCGCTGATTGCAAAGCCAGGAGTAAACCCTGAGTACTGCCAACTGTAGTGCAGAAAGCAAAAACAAATGTTTTTTGTAGGGGGAGAGAAATATTACAGTGATTAAAGTTGTATTCACCCAACCTAGTTTTCCTCACAGGTATTACATATGGTCCTCCAAGACTGGCCAGGAACGATCTCTGAAAACAGAGCATAAGTAAGCCCAGAACACCAGTGGGTGTGCCACCAAAACAAAAATTAAAGTTTCCCACAGATCCAGAGTGAATATGGGAGTTAAGGTATTTGCCAGGCACACAGCTGGTTTGATCCCTGTCACTGCTTACAGTTTCCCAGGTACTACCAGGAGTGACCTTTGAACACTGTCATGTATGGCCAGAAAGCCCTGCTCAAAAAAAAGTTCTCTTTAACAAAAGTATTTTTTAAATACGTGTACTGTAAGGAAGGGTAAACAGATATAGAAGTAACTGTTTGCTTTTACTGTTTTTGTTATTTGTATACGTACATTTTGTCTTGCTATTTTCATACAGAACTTTGTTTCCCTCAGTTAATTTGGCATCCACGCTGTTGTCTGTACGAGGTTCTGTCCTTTTTATTGGAGCATCTTGTCTCTCCTAATAATGTTCTTTGACTTAGCTCAAGTAATTTTTACAGTATGTACAACGGTTGTATGTACAGCAGTTCTTGCAATAAGAGCTTTTGCTTTTGGCGTCTCTTTTGGGGGTTATAGAGTAAGGTCATTCCTGATAGTGTTGGGGGTAGGGAGCATGTGGTGCCCAGAATTAAACCCATATGCAAAGCATGTGCTCTCTTGAGCAATCGTTCTCTTTTTTTAAATCATTCCTTGTTGTGAATTAAAATCTGATCATTTTACTGATTTTAGTCTTCTTTATGCAGTACAAAGTTTCTCAGTAAAAGAAAGGCATATCTTTCCTTGATATCGTTTTTGTTTATGGGTCATACCCAACTATGCTCAAGAATTATTCTTGGTGGGCTTAGGACCGCATGGGGTGCCAGGGATTGAAGCCTGATCATACTATCTCTCTGACCCCTTACTTTGGTATCTTAGAGATGAGTTAACAAGATTAAACCCTTTTAGAACCAGAATCTAATTTTTCTGTTTTGAACCAGTGTTGAGGGCTGAAGAGGCAGGACAGCAGGTAAGGCATTTTCCTTGCATGAGGCAAACTTGGGAAAGAATAATTTTTAAAACCCCAAACAACCCGTTGTTTAAATGCCCAAAGGCAATAGAAACAGCAGAACTGAAGGGTAGGACACTAGAGAATTTGGTGTTGAAACATTGTACACCTGAAACTCAGTCATGAGTGTCTTTGTACTTTTGTAACTTATGGTGATTCTTTTTTTTTTTTTTTTTTTTTTTTTTGCTTTTTTTGGGTCATACCCAGGCTCTGGACTCAGTGGACTCAGGAATTATTCCTGGCGGTGCTCAGGGGACCATATGGGATGCTGGGAATGGAACCCTGGTTGGCAACGTGCAAGGCAGACACACCCTACCCACTGTGATATTGCTCCAGCCCCCAGTGATTCAATTTTTTAAAAATAATGCTATTGTTGATTTAAGCTAAAATTGAGTAAAACCCCTTGGATAATTTTTAAACCACTTGGATTTCTGTCTTTTGAGGTTGTCGTTACTGGGTTTACCTGCATTGGTTTTTGAGTCCTGAAACTTACTTTGTAATGCAGATACTTTAGAAGCCTGATTTTATTACACAGATATTTCAGAATTATAAATGATAGAATGTGATCATCTATTCAAATACTTATATGCAGAAACTATAAAGGGATTATTATTTGGGCCTCTAATTTATAGCACTTAGAAAAATAAATTTTTGTCATCTGTAAACCCCTCTTCTGCCTTACACTTTTTGTGAAAATATGGAAACTGAACCTTTTCATGGTGCTTGTGAATTTATTTAAATGTTGTTACGTATACAAACAGGTTAGAAAAGTCATTTTGAATGGTTGCATTATAGTATACTCTTTATAACCACCTTTTGAACAAAATATAAATGATTTTTTTCTGTATATGCACGTAATTTTTATTTTGGGGATAGTCTTGGTTCTGTATTCAAGAGTGACTCCTGATTGTTCCCAGGGGATCTCATAGGTGGTGCCAGGGATATGAACCACGGTTGGTGATGATAACTCTTATATTATTTTTGCCAGACCCTACTTGCTTTTTATTTGTTGAATCAAATGATTTATTTCTCTTAGATAGCTGACATTTCTTCTGATTTTTAGATACCAATATTTTGTTTTGTGTTAAAAAGACCTCTTTTTTTCTCATGAGAATACACATTCTTTTCTTTCAATCACTCTTTTTGGTTTTGGAGGCCACACATGGCAGCGCTCAAAGTTTACTCTTGGCTCTGCATTCAGGAGTACCTTCTGGAGGGATTGAGGGACCATATGGGGTGCCAGGGATTGAACTCAAGGTCTACCAGGTACAAGACAGACTTCCTACCCACTGTACTGTTGACTCACGCGCCCCTTCCCAGTTTGTCATTTTTGCACATGTTACAGGCAGGGAGAGAGGAGCATGGAATACTCTACCAGCTGAGGCTGCTGTACTTTTTCCTCTCTTTTTGGTAGGAGGAGGGGTAGTTGGGCCACACCTGGTGGTGCTCAGCTGAATCAGTGGTGAAGACAAGTGAACACTGGTGGAAGGTGTGGTACTTGAACATTGTATGCACGAAGCCCTGCCATTAACAGTATTGTAAATCACAGTGATTCTGGCAGTAAAAATAATAAAATGAAAACAGCATTATAAAGAATAATATGGAAAGATTAAAGCCAGGGCTAGAGAGGTAGTGTAACAGGGCTTTTGCCACGCACATGACAAGGTAAAGAATCTAAATACCAGTCTTCAGTCACTAAGGCATATTCCAGATACTGAGTAGATATTTGTCTCATAGCTACCAAATTGAACAGATCGGCAAATTATTTATTTTTTGGGGGGGAAGGGTTTTGGGTCACTCTTGACTATACTTAAGGCTTACTTCTGGCCTTAAGTATAGTCACTCTTGGGATCACTCAGGGATTACTCTTGGCAGTCTTTGGGGATTGGTCATGAATTCTTTCTTTACCACTATATCCCTTGTATCTAGAAAAAGGATTATCCTGTTGTAGGTTAACTGAATCTCTCAACTTCTTTTTTTCTTTTTTGGTTTTTCTGTCACACCTGACTGTGCTCAGGGTTTACTTCTGCCTATACTCTCAGGAATTTACTCCTGGCTCAGGGGACCATATGGATACTGGGGATCAAACCTGGGTTGGCCACTTGCACAGCTTGTAATGTTATTCGTGTACCAAATATGTAATTTTTCTATTTTTTTTCCCTCTTCAAACCCCTTCCCCCCCTTTTTTTGGACTTGGGGCTCAAGCACAGGGCCTTTCAATGTCTCTGCCACTGAACTCTATCCCATTCCTACTTTTGTAGCTGTTATGATGACAGAGGGTCATATGCTTTATTACTTTCACACCTGGTTGTGAAGCTCACACAATTAGAATGTGCTTTCTGGCAGAATGTTGGAGATTGCACCCCTTTTTTGTGGTGCCAGGAGATCATAAATGGCAGTGCTACAGAGATAGCACTTCGCATATCGGGCACTGCTGGTAATTGAGCTCTTGACCTTATGCATGATAGGTAGCATGCTACCTCTGAGCCATCTCTGGAATCCTGTATTTTTCTAAATATATTTATTTTTTAATACATTTTTAAAAATCTTTGTCTCGGAAACCAGGAAAATGATAACTCAAAGGGTTAAAGTGCCTGGTTTGCATGTAGAAAGCACATGTTTCATCCCTAGCACTGTCTGAACTGGCTCTTCATACCAAAGAGATGGTCCAAAACTTAAGTCTATGACTAAAAGTGTTTAAATACATAAATTCATTAACAGTGACTTCACTGCACTTTGTGTTAGTTAAGCCACATTCAGGTGCGAGTCACCAGTGACTTGCACTGGCATCAATATGTCAGTTTAATGTCTTGGATTTACTTTGTGTTCTTGAAGAGTGCTTCCATTACTTCACTGTTTGGTTTTATTTTAATGTCTTTCATACCTGATGTCCTCTGAGGTCAGCATTTTCCGAAAATTATTTTGGTGTTCGTAATTGCTTATACAAGGGCTTATTGGCTCGTGGGTGAGATACAACAATCTTCACACACTTTCTTCTTTTTCTTTTTCTTTTCTTTTCTTTTCTTTTTTTAATTTTTATTAGTGAAACATCATGAGGTACAGTTGTAGACTTACAAATTTTTATGTTTGGGTTTCAGTTATATAATGATCAAGTACCCATCCCTCCATCAGTGCCCATTCTCCACTACCACTAATCCCAGTATCCCTTCCACCCCGCCCCAACCCCCCCATCCCACCCTGCCTCTGTGGCAGGGCATTCCCTTTTGTTCTCTCTCTCCTTTTGGGTGCTGTGGTTTGCAAAAGAGGTATTGAGTGGTAGTCATGTTCGGTCTATAGTCTACTTTCAGCATGCATCTCCCATCCTGGGCGGATCTTCCCAACACAGTTCATTTGGGTGCTCCCTTCTCTATCTGAGCTGCCTTTACCCTTAGAATGTGCGGCTGGCCTCCAAGCCATGGAGTAAACCTCTTGGTACTTACCTCGACTATTCTTGGGTGTTAGTCTCCTATTTTGTTACTTTATGTTCCCCAGATGAATGCAATCTTTCTATGTTTGTTCCTCTCTTTCTGACTCATTTCGCTTAGCATGATACTTTCCATGTAGTACCACTTGTATTTCACACACTTTCTTCTAAGGAAACTTCTTTGGACCATTTTTAGCGGGTTATTTATAGCAAGCAATACAAAATGAATGATTTAGGACCTTCTTGTGAGGCAAGCTTAAGTACTCATGCGAAAATTCGAAATAAATGCTGGGAAGATGTCATTGTGGTGGGATTGGTGTTTGAATATTAAATGTAATAAATTATTGTGGACAAAAAACATGTTGGCATAATGCATAGGCATAAATGTTCTCAATCAGCATTTTAATCTCTAAAAAAAATATTGCCAGTCCTAACATTTGTTCTATACATGTGTGCATTTTGGGAATATCTACACTTAGTCTGATCTAAAACATGTTTACCCATCTTGTATATTGCTAATAAGCATAATAAGAGCATGGCTGTACTGTCTACTTCTGTAACGAACTCATCCCTTTTCTTTTGTGTTGAAATATGTAACGTTCCTTTTTTTTTTGAAATATGTAACATTCTTAATTTTCAATTCCACATAGGCATTGATTTTCACAGAAAAGTTTCATTGACTTTTTTCCAAGCCCTTTTCTGAAGCAGTGGTAGTTACAGTTGATGAACGGATGTAGTTCTGGCATGAGTGTAGGTTGATTATTAATTATTAAGAAAAAAGTGTGACAACAAAGACATTTTAAAATATTACTCATCGGTGTCATAAGCACTTTTGGGCAAATACCATTTTTTTTTATATTTAATATATCCTCAGATTATTATATTACTGTAGCATCTTTAAACAAAACACAATGTTTGGGGGAAGAGTGGGGGGGTGTGTCAGGGATCAAACATAGCCAAACATGCAAGGCTTATGTTTTAACCTCAGAGCTACATACCTAACCCTGCTACGCACCTTTAAGAGTGATCTGCATGATAATATAGTTTCCATGATGTCCCTATACCTATTAATAAAATAATATTCAACTTTGATTTGTAGAATTTGATGATTACCATGGTATAACTGCTTCCACTGTATCAGATTTCTACCTACAGACATGAATTAGAGTCAGGGAGGAAGCGGTATAACCCTCTTTATCATTGTATAATTTCACACATAGATCCACAAATCATAAAGAGCAAAATATGCTGAAATAATTAGAACATTGTGAATTATTACTATCACCTGGTTTTAATGATTGTGTTGAGCAACTATCTCATCAAGTTTCTAATCTACTAGCTGGTCCAGACCAGCTTTGGCACAATCCTGTGTTTTTTGATGGTAGGGAAGGATATCTGTTGTAAAAAAATCTTAGAAATCTCTTCTTGGTTGCAGTTTGCTACTTGAGGTGGGTGAGTTTTCTTTCTTGGTGAGGTCATCTGTCTACCATCCATCTGGATGCCTTCTTTTATCCCTGGTTGTGAAAGCTTTGACAATCAGGCTGCTTTCTGTTTAGGTTATTTTATTAATTTTGAACTTGGTACAGTGCTCAGGGGATTATGCAGTGCTCATGGTCAAAGCATCAGGAATTCCATATGCAAAGCATGTACACTAGACCTTTGAGGTCTCTTCCCACCCCGTTTCTGAGTAGATTATTCCAAGTTTTGGTGTAGAATTACTGTGGTTGCAGGAGAAAATACACACATATCATCTATCTTGGCCCTTCATCTCCAGAACAAAGTTGTAAAAGAAACAGCTGACAATACCACTGTTTACACTACAGAAAGATTGGCAAAAAAAAAAAGCTTATGAAGTAGGAGTGGTAACTAATACCTACAAATACACAAGAAAAATCAATAGAAACTTTATAATGGGTTGATTTTTCTTCATTCTCACATTTTTATAATGAGACTATTATTGTAATAAAATACATTTTTTATAGCCTAAAACTGGGTGTAAAAAATATAAAATATTTAGAAAAGATGAGTGTTGTGTAGCCTCTGGGGAGAGCATATATCTTTATGCTTGTTACTTAGTTCTGTTTGAGGCCAAACATTTGTTTTCCAGTGCCACCACATTTCTTAGATCTTTCTGTTGCTATATAGTAGTATTTAAGAGCTTATCAGTTCTACCATACTGGAAATACCAACAATGTTTGCTTGCACTTCCACAGGTTGCTTCATGTACGAAATGGAAATTGCAAGTACCATTTGGGTGAAGAAACATTTAAGTTAGCTCAGACATACATGGACAAACTCTCAGAACATGGTCAGCAAGCAAACAAAGCTGCACTCTATGGAGAACTCTGTGCACTTCTGTTTGCAAAAAGTCACTATGATGAGGTGAGTGTTGCAAGTTCATTTTATTGTGTTGTGATTGTTAAGTACCTGTGAAGTGGGACAAATAATCTTAATTTTCTATTTAAAATTTTCTTTTTAAAAAAATTTGCTTTTAACTGAATCAGTGTGAGCTACACAGTTATAAAGTTGCTCACAGTTGGATTTCAGTCATACAATGTTCCAACACCCATCCCTTCACCAATGTACATTTGCCACCACCAATTTCACTAGTTGCCCTCCTGTCTCCTCCATCTTTATTTTTCTTAATCTCATTAGGTTTGCTTAAAAAGCCTTATACATTCATAATGCAAAAATATTTACAATTTTGTCCCTTTTTGTTTGTTTTGGGAGCACATCTTGTTCTGTAATGCAAGGTGTAAACCCTTATGTGCTGTACTGTCAGTCTCTCCAGCCTCCAATCCAGGGCTTTTTTTTGGGGGGGACACTCCCGGTGATACTCAAGGGTTATTCCTGACTCTGCACCTAGAAATTATTTCTGGTGGTGCTCGGGGGACCATCTGGCATGCTGGGAATCGAACCCAGGTCGGCCACATGCAAGGCAAATGCCCTACCCATTGTGCTATTGCTTTTTAAAAAATAGAAGTATAAGAAACTTGTGACCGTGTTATTCTTATATTTTACTTTGACCACGTATTTCTCCTTAAAATAGTTTGAGGGTGGGGCTGGAGCGATATCACAGTGGGTAGGGTGTTTGCCTTGCACATGGTTCGATTTCCTCTGTTCCTCTCGGAGAGCCCGGCAAGCTACCAAGAGTATCCTGCCCGCACAGCAGAGCCTGGCAAGCTCCCCGTAGCGTATTCGATATGCCAAAAACAGTAACAATAAGTCTCACAATGGAGATGTTACCGGTGCCTGCTTGAGCAAATCGATGAAGAACGGGAGTACAGTGCTACAGTGCTACAGATTTTCATACGCAGTACCTGAAATCTTATAGAAAAAATTCGCAGTTGTTTCTTGTCTAATAGTTGTTCTTTAACCTTTTTTTTTTTATTTAGGCATATAAATGGTGCATTGAAGCAATGAAAGAAATAACAGCAGGTTTACCAGTTAAAGTTGTGGTGGATGTTTTAAGACAAGCTTCTAAGGTAAACTTGTTAAAATTTTTACCAGATGTGGCCCCCAATCAAAACCAAACCAAAAATTATTTCGATCATTTGGTTCACTGAAGTATAGTTGAAATAGCATGTTGGTGCTCTCCTGACTTGAATTTATGTTTTTCTTACACCTTTACATTTAACTTGAATTCTTTTTGCCCGAGTTGTTGTCTCTTACTAGAAAGCCTAGTACTGGGGATGTAGCTGAGTGATAGAGCATTTGCATTGCAAGTGTGAGAGCCTAGGGTCTATTCCTTTCATGGAGGGAGAGGGAATGGAGGGTGAGGAAGAAAGGTAGAAATCTACAGCGGTAGGGCGTTCGCCTTACAAGCGGCCAACATGGCCGACCCGAGTTCGATTCCTCCGCCCCTCTCGGAGAGCCCGGCAAGCTACCGAGAGTATTCGATATGCCAGACACAGTAACAACAAAGTCTCCAATGGAGACGTTACTGGGCCCGCTCGAGCAAATCGATGATCAACGGGAGGGCCTTTACTTACTTTACAGTCTTAGAGATTGAGAGCTTTCTGTAATTGACCCACTGGGCAATATTTATTTTTTCCCTCTGGTTTTTTCTTAGTCTAGACATAAATGTGGTAATTCTTTGATACCATTCAGTATTTTTTAAATCTTTCTTCACGCTGGGACTTTAAAATATTAATGTATTTTTCAAATATCAACCCAGAGGTTTTCCAGTTTTGAATATTCCACTTTGACTGGATAGTTTACAGGAATTTCCATTAGAAGAAATTGAAGAGGGCTGGAGAATACAGAAGGAAAGCACTTAATTAAGCTTTGCATGCAGCTGACCCAGGTTTGATCCTAGAGCTACAAATGACTTTCCAACTGCTGGGTTCACTCCTGAGCACAGAGCCCCTGAAAATCACTAGGTACAGGAATGGTCCCTGAGTATTGCTGGATATCACCCAAACCCCTCAACTCTCCCCTCCCCCCATAACCCAAAATTAAGATTCTGTGAGATTTATTTGTATTAGTCGTTTAGAACAAGCAAATAGGGTTAATGTTCAGCTTATTTCTAGACCTAGAAGAGAATATTAATATTTTAAATTGAAACATTTACTGTATACTTACATAAAGTCAGCCATGTTCTAGGGAGATGGCTCGGAGTGCTAGAACACATGCTTTGCATGTAGGATCAGGTTGAACCTTACAATACATGGTCCCCAAGCACCAATAGTTGTGCCCTTTCCCCAAAAAAGAAAACTTAATACATGTACAATAGTTACATTTCTAGATGCAGTATTTATGGTTTATTATTTACTGGCCTATTGATTATCTGAATCAAAATAAAGATTTTGGAAAAAATTAGAAGTCTATACATTTAGAAGTTAACCTATAAAAATACAAGGTAATAATGTCACTCTATACCTGAAGTATCTTAAAAATCTGTTAAAATTAAAAATAATAATAATCTGTTGAGGACAGGAAGATAATTGAGAGAACTGAGCGTATGTTAGTGTGCAGGAGCTCAGATTTATTCCCTGGCACTGCATTGTGGCAAAGCACCCCAACCAGGCAGACCTGGGCACTACCAGGTGCATCCCCAAAAAACAAATATAAAGTATTGTGTTGAGCTCGCTCTCTCTCTGTGGTTTCATATTATTTATCTGGATTTTGGACCTTATTCAGTGGTGTTTGTGGGGCTTATTTCTGGCTCTGTGCTTTGGTCTTACTCCAGGTGGTGCTCGGGACTATGTGGGCTTCGAGGGATTGAACTTGTGTTGGCCACATGCAAGGCAAGCACTCCACCTACTGTGCTGTTGCAGTAGCCCCCATGGTCTTATTTTAATCATAAAATGGATTGGAGGGGCTGGAGTGATAGCACAGTGGGTAGGGCATTTGCCTTGCACGCAGCCGACCAGGGTTTGATTCCCAGCATCCCATATGGTCCCTTGAGTACTGCCAGGAGTAATTCCTGAGTGCATGAGCCAGGAGTAACCTCTGTGCATGGCTAGGTGTGACCCAGAAGGCAAAAAAAAAAAAAAAAAAAGATTGGATTGGAGTATACTTTGTTTGTGAGATAACTTATTTTATGCTTGGAATTGGGCATAATTGTCAAAAATTTAAACTTACCAGATATGTACAAATATATTAGCAGTTTACCTAGAATACAGCACACACTATTTATGTTGATGACGTGCTTTTTTTTTACATACATAAATATATAGTAGTAAATACATAAGTATTCATTTGCACAGTAGTTGAGAATTTATAACGGTTTTTTACTTTATCTTTAGGCTTGTGTTGTAAAACGTGAATTTAAGAAGGCAGAACAATTAATTAAACATGCTGTGTATTTGGCAAGGTAGGTGATTGTCATTAAAAATACTTTTTCAAATTGTGTTTCTGCTTTATATCCTAATAACTTTGTATCTTTTTTTAGGGATCATTTTGGATCTAAGCACCCAAAATACTCAGATACACTGCTAGATTATGGGTTCTACTTACTCAATGTAGATAACATCTGCCAGTCTGTTGCAATTTATCAGGTATGTTACTAGTTCGATTCCTCCGCCCCTCTCGGAGAGCCCGGCAAGCTACCGAGAGTATTCCATATGCCAGACACAGTAACAACAAAGTCTCCAATGGAGACGTTACTGGGCCCGCTCGAGCAAATCGACGATCAACGGGAGGGCCTTTACCTTTACTAGTTAGCTTTTTCCCCCTACAACCTAAATTAACTCCCATTTCCTCTTCATGGCTGGAGCAATAGCACAGCGTCAGGGCGTTTGCCTTGCACGCAGCCAGCCCAGCTGAGCCTGGTTCGATTCCTCTGCCCCTCTCAGAGAGCCTGGCAAGCTACTGGGAGTATCTTGCCTGTGTGGCAATGCCAAAAACAGTAACAAGTCTCAAAATGGAGATGTTACTGGGCCTGTTTGAGCAAATCGATGAACAACAAGAGGACAGTATTTGTTTGTTGTTTGTTTCCTCTTCATATGTGGCATACTTCTAAGAGAACATCCAATAAGAGTTAATGAGCTACAGACCCATATTTTAGAATGTTTTTCCATTTTTCACTTACCCAGATGATGGTTTGCCTTGTTTGGTAGGGCATTAGCCTTGCATGCAGCTGACCCGGCCGATCCGGGTTCGATTCTTCTGCCCTTCTCGGAGAGCCCGGCAAGCTACCGAGAGTATCTTTCCTGCACGGTAAAGCCTGGCAAGCTCCCCGTGACGTATTCAATATGCTAAATACAGTAACAACAAGTCTCACGATTGGAGACGTTACTGGGCCCGCTCGAGCAAATCGATGAACAACGGGAGGGCAGTGCTACAGTGCTACAGCACATCATTATAACTTCCTTTATAATAGCAGAGAAGATTAATAACAGTTATTTTAGACTTTGGTCATTTTCAGGTAAAAGCCATTGTCTGGACAGGATATTCTTGATTTTACAGTTCAGTTCTAAATGACAGAAAGAAAAATACGAATGCAGTTCCCCCAGGCATATTTTGGGTTTTTTTCTTAAGCTACATCCTTTTAAATCAGGTTTAAGCTTCAGAAAATCACACCTCTATCTATTTCAGTTTGACTAATGCAAGATTTTTCTTACTCCAAAATGAATGGGATGAGGACATATGGTTACTAAGATGCTTCTATTTAACTGGGTGATATCTTCTAAAGATTTATAGTATTTTTAAGTTTTTTCATGCCTCTTTCAGGCAGCCCTTGACATTCGGCAGTCAGTATTTGGTGGCAAAAATATCCATGTAGCAACAGCTCATGAAGACTTGGCTTATTCTTCTTACGTTCATCAGTACAGCTCTGGGAAATTTGACAATGCACTGTAAGTTCCACATAGGTATTTAATGATTAAGTGCTGTTGTTAAAATTATTTTGTTTTTTCCTAGTAATGTGTTTAATGTACTTTATGAATTAAAGTTTATCTTGCTGGAGCTTTAACATGATACCTAAAATGTCAGCAGAGACTTATTTTAAAGTCATACCAGTTTAGAAACTTTAGAGAGTATTGAGATAAGGCACTAGCCTTACATGCAGGCAATTCTGTTTTGATCCCTGGCACCTGTGGTCACTCATTAGCACAGAATCAGGAATATCCCCTGAGCCCCTGGGTACTACAAGATGTGACCCTAACATCCCACCCCTTCCAAATTACACCAATTTATAAAATATTCAAATTTGTCATTTCATAGCTAGACTTGACTGTCTCCATACTCAGTTTTACTTGGGGGTCCTCTGGGGATAAAGCTGGCAGTGCTTGGGGACCATGCGGTGCCAGGAATCATACCTCGGTCTGATTTATGTCAGGCATGTGCCATCACCACTGTACTATCTCTGGACCCAAGAAGCATTTTCTCCAATCATAATTGTGAAAGCAGAGAATAATTACGAAAGGATGCATATGAATTTTTACATAAATGTTGTGCAGTGGTGGAAAAGAGGTAGACATTGCAGTAACAATGCAAATAGAGTTCCTTGCAGATCCTCATCATAATAGAAGCCTCGCGCGCACGCACGCACGCACACACACACAGAGAGCACATTGCATTTCTGGTCAGGGAAGCTGTAAGTTAAAGTTAAACCCTCACATGAGGCAGAGATGGAGGGGATCTCTTTACTGGCAGGTGAGAGATGGCAAGGAAACTTGTTATATCAGGATCAGCTCTCAGGGGAATTTGCAACTATAGCTATACAGCTTTTAAATTTAGGCTTACAGAACCCTTAAATTGTAAGCCTAAATGATTAAATATCATTGGTTGGCAAAATAGGTTGGTGAACTATGACCTGTAGGCAAAGTAAAGTTCTGTTGAGTGTTTGCTTTGTAGCCTATGACTTCTCTGCAGGAGCAGAGTGGAGTAGTTGAAACTGAGAATGTATACACAACCTAAAATATTTATACTCTGACCCTTTATAGAAGAAAACTTGCTGGCTGTAATACAAAAATATAGATAAATAAAAAGAACCACTGATATTTTGGAAGGAAATTAAAAGCAAGAAAAGAAGATTTAAAAATAAATCTACTGAGGGATCCAGAGCCCCAGTACATTCTCCTCACACGTATACTTATACACCTTATACACACAACTTATATTTGCTACAGCATTTATGAACCTTAAAAACATTATGCCAGGACATAGCTTCAAGAGCTGGAACACATACTTTTCATGCTGGAGCTCCAGGTTCAGTCCCCAACACCTCATTGTGTTCAGTGGTCCCCTGAAGACAATGCTGGGAGTAGCAGCCCCCATCAGAAACAAACAAATACTGTGCTGATGAAGAAGCCAGTGTAGTAAATGATTCCATTTATATGAAATTTGCAGACTACACATATCCATAGAGACAGACAGTAATTGGTCATTACTGAGGACTGGGAGACTTATAGAAAATAGAAAGTGATGGCACAATTTCTTTGTGAGATGATGAATGCATTCTGAAGTTAACACTGAATACAGTAAAAAATAAGTGGGTCAGTTTTATGGTAGAATTATATCTTTTTGTTTTGGATTGATTGGTTTGGGTTTGGTGGGGTAGGGGGCGGGGGAAAGCACATCCAGAGATGCTCTGGGCTTATTCCTGTCTCTGCACTGGGATCACTCCTGGTTGTGCCTGGGGTTGCCAGGGATGGAACCTAGACTGGTCATGTGCAAAGCAAGCACCCTACCCACTTGTACTATTGCTCTACCTCTGGAAATACTTCAGTGAGGAGTTTGCCATGTAGATATTCAGGGACGAATATTCCCTGAGACAGAAAAACAAATACAAATGTTGTTGGTGAGAGCATGCTTTGCATGTTCAGAAAACTGCTGGTCTTCTGTATAACTATATGGGAAAAAACTGACAGGCAAGGGAAGTGCGCAGAGCAATAGTACAGCACGTAGGGCATTTGCCGTGCACAAAGCTGACCTGGTTTAAATCTCTAGTTTCACATATTGTCCCTCAAGCACCACCAGGAGTAATTACTGAATGCTGCATCAGGAGTAACCCCTGAACATTGCTGGGTGTGGTCGCAAAGAAAAAAAAACTGGAAGAAAAAGGGATGGTTGCTGCTGAGAATTGTAGCATATGAGTTTAATAGCAATTCACCCTTTATCTTGAGGGAAATTGCAATGTGTTGGGTGTTAAAAGTTCAGTCTAGGAGCTGGAGCGAAGGTACAGCAGGTAGGGAGCTTACTTGCAGGAAGCCATCCCAGGCTTGATTCCTAAGCACCACCAGGAGTGGTCCCAAAGACAGGAGTAAGCCCTGAATACTGTTGAGTATGACCCAGACACAAAAACCAAAAAATTCAGTCTACAACAGATTGGAAATTAAACAAAAACTGATGTTTTTATTTGTTTTTGGTTTGGGGGCCACACCCTGCAGTGCTCAGGGTTTACTTCTGGCTCTGCAGTCAGGAATCCTCCTGGTGATGCTTGGGAGACCGTATGGGATACCAGGATTCGCACCCAGATTGACTACTTCCAAGGCAAATAAATGCCCTACTCTCTGTACTGTTCTTCCATCAGCAAAACTGATCTTTTACCGTAAATAATTTCAGAATTTATATCAATATCATAAATTTCATGTAGTGGTTTTAATGTATAAATTATTTGTAACTGTAGAGAAATACCAGGTTATATCTATCTGTATTGCAGATTTCATGCAGAAAGAGCTATTGGTATCATTACTCACATCCTACCGGAAGATCATCTTCTTTTGGCTTCTTCAAAGAGGGTGAAAGGTACCCTTTGCAATCTAGTCTCTGATATATTTAAATTGTTGATAAATGGTATAAAACAGGGGTATTTATTTCCTCAAGGGTGGTAGCAAGATTACTAAAATAGCCCATTCATAATTGTAAATATTTGCCTGCAGTTCTACTTAAGGATTTCTCTTGGGGGCCGGTGAGCTAGTACAGAGGGTAGGGCACTTGCTTTGCACCCAGCTGACCTGAGTTTGATCCCAGCACTTCATATGGTCCCCTGAGCACAACCAGAAGTGATACCTGAACACAGAGCCAGGAGTAAGCCCTGAGCGCTGCTGGGTGTAGCCCAGGGGCAAGAGGAGGGAGAATTTCTAATGGTTCATAGAAGATTGTTTCTATCTCATCTCATGTTAACTAGAAATTCTGTCTTTTGTTTTCCTTTCTTTTACACACACATTTGAGGGAAGGATGGAAGAATAACACAAACGATCATTGCACAGTAACGTGTATAGCAAACTAAAGATGGATTTTTCTTATAGTTTCAGCTTCCTGGTACACAATTCTGAAATTGAGCTATATCTCAAGTTACCCAATGGTCAGAGCTTGCCGGGAATGTAGTTCAGCGGTAGAGCACTTGGTTTACATGCATAAGGCCTTGGGTTCAATCCCAGCACAACACAAATTAAATAATGTTATAAGGCTCTTGCAGATAGTACTTTCTTCCATTTCTTGTTTTAATTTTTCTTCTGATCATAACTAATTCTCTTCCATTGAAGGCTTGTATTTTGCCAACCTGATTGGGTCACCTATATTCTAATTTCACACATGTTGAATTTATTTTACCCTAATTCTAGAACTGGCTTTTTCCTCCTCTAGGTTTGCATTTTTTTAAAGTTACTCAATGCATGATTAATGTCAAAAATTAAAAGTTAGATAGAAAAGAGAAAATATTAAGTCACCTGAAATCCTCCAATCCAGAATCAACATTTTGGTGAATATTTTTTTAGACTTTCTTCAAATAATAAGTTGAACATTTTTTTAAATAATCTGCTTTATCACTTATTGTGCCATGAACATTTCCCCATGTCAATACATGTAGGTATATATCCTTTTTTCTAATGTTTTTAATCTCATCTCTAACCATTTGCTCATTTAAAATGCTGTAGTGAACTTATTCTTTACTTGGACAGTTTTCTTAGAAAATGTCAAGACTTTTAAATTGTACTATCTTCTAGCCTAGTGATTTTAGATGACGAGTGGGAGGAAAACAGTTCTTTTAGTATGATTGAGTAAAGGTTATATTTTGTGAAGATTTCAAAATTTTCAACACTGTTCCTTGATCAAGTTTTACGGCTTGAAAAAAATTGCCTTTTCTTTCTTGTCATCCTTCCATCTGCTTTATGAAATCAACTTATTGGCTGTGTATAACAGTCTAACAAAATAGAAATTCTGCATAGTAATTTTATGTATGCCATTATTTTTCTTAAATTCATTAAACTACAAAATAGAATGACCCCCTGCACAGTGTGTTTTTCTTTATTAAAGTGAACTGCTTTGGTCTTTGTAAGTTCTTAACCATAATTAATCATTTCTGAAGACATTGAAAATTTCTAGAATTTAAATTATTCTTTGTAGCTTTAGTAGACCATTCAGAAGTGTGCTAATTTTGTTGTTTTCTTACTCAGCACTTATTTTAGAGGAGATTGCAATTGACTGTCATAATAAAGAAACTGAACAGAGGCTGCTTCAAGAAGCTCATGATTTGCACCTGTCTTCACTCCAACTAGCTAAAAAGGCTTTTGGGGAATTTAATGTACAGACTGCAAAACACTATGGAAACCTTGGAAGACTTTATCAGTCAATGAGAAAATTTAAGGTAGAGACATGTTTACTCGAATTTCCCATTAATTGTTTGGGTTTTAAGACCTAATCTGAGGTACAGAAGTCTACATCTCTCTCAGTTAACATGAATTCAGTTTGTTAAGATACAATTGTCAGAAGACACGGGGGCTAGAGACAGAGCTCATAGTGACGGCTCTCTCGAACCTCCACAACAGTCTCCACCCCCAGCACCACAGGCCAGGAGTCAAGGAAAGATGTCTGGGTATAATTCATACTTTTACAAAAGAACTAAAATGTTTTATTTTAATTTTTATTTACTCATTTTGCGGGCTGGAGCAATAGCACAGCGGGTAGGGTGTTTGCCTTGCACGCGGCTGACCAGGGTTCGATTCCTCCATCCCTCTCGGAGAGCCCAGCAAGCTACCGAGAGTATCCTGAGATACTCAAGCTACCGAGAGCACGTGGCCAACCCGGGTTCGATTCCTCTGCTCCTTTCAGAGAGCCCGGAAAGCTACCGAGAACATCCCGCCCGCACTGTAAAGCCTGGCAAGCTACCCTTGATGTATTCAATATGCCAAAAACAGCAACAACACATCTCACAATGGAGACGTTACTGGTTCCTGCTCGAGCAACAACGGGAAGACAGTGCTACAGTGCTACTTATTTTGGGCTTTTGTGTTACACCCAGCAATGCTCAGGGGTTACTCCTGGCTCTGCAGTCAGGAATTACTCCTGGTGGTGCTCAGGAAATCATGGGATGTTGGGGATCGAACCCGGGTCGGCCACGTTTAAGGCAAACACTACCTGCTGTACTATTGTTCCAGCCCCATATTTTGGATTTTTCTTTCTTTTCTTTTTTTTTTTTTTGGTTGTTTTTTGAGCCACTCCACATGGTGGTGCTCAGGGCTTATTCCTGGCTCTGAGCTCAGGGGTCACTCAGAGTCACTGGCAGTCTCAGGGAACCATATGGGATGCCAGGAGTCGAATATAAGTTGGATAGATAAATGCCCTATCCACTAGACCATTACTCCAGCCCCCTTGTAAATTAACATTTTAAAACAGTGTTTCTTAATAGGATTTAGTTAGATTTTGGAGCACAGTAACTGTGCAAACTTCTATTTTAGTAGGAATCCCAAACAGTGCTCAGGGACCAGGCCACCAAGACTATGCCTGCATTGTTCAATGGACTATGTATGGGTGGCCAGGCATTAGACTAAAAGTTTTGTGAATGCAAGGCATACGCTCCATCTATTTGTACTATTTCCTCACTCCCTAATGTTTTCGTTTCGGGGGTCACATCAGTGCTCAAGCATTTTTCCTGGTAGTGCTCAGAGGACCATATTGTGCTGAGGTTTGAACAAGGTACCCCTATGAGGAGAGACCTGTATCAAAAAGGAAAGAAGTGCTGATGGGACTGCAGTGAAAAATGGACCCACACAATGATTACTGGTGGGGACGTAATCTGGTCCAGCCCTTACGAAAAACAGTATGGAGACTTCTAAAGCAATTAAAGGAAGAACTTCCATATGGAGTATATGCCTTGCATTCACAAATTCTTGAGTTTGATCCCTGACACTCCGTAGGTGGATGGCAAGCTCTCTATCCCCAGCCCATTAAGCTGTCTCTGGATCTCCCTCCATCCCTTCCTTTTTCCCTTCAATCAAAAAATTTGTGTTCCCATAACTTTGTATTAAAGTTTTAGGCTTACAGTACTACTGTGTCACACCCACCATCAGAGTGCTAATATCCCCACTATCTCAGGTCTCTTCTCAATACACACAACGTAACCACGACCACTTTCTTCCCCACAGATACCACCAAACACACACACATACCACCACTCCCAGTCCATTGACCATTCTCTGTTTGGTATCTTTGTTTCTTTATATTCTACATATGAATGAAATACTGTTTTTTTTCTCCTTATCACTTAGCATGGTGCCCATCTAAATTGTAGTAAAGATTCAGTTCACTCTTCAAGCCTGTGTACTCCCTTGAACCTGTATCTTGCTTGCTTGTCTCCATGTTTCTTTGCTTGCCTATTTTATTTGCTTCTATTTTAGAGAAGCCTGTGCTCTTGCTCGAAAATTAACTTCTCCCTCTCTTTCCCCTCACATCTTTTCAGTAAATAAGTTTCAGTAAAACATCCTTGCTTACGAAAAAGAAACATGTCATCTTATAAAAAAATTCTGTATCAGGGATTTAACTCAGAGCCTGAACTGCATCACTGGCCCCAAGATTTAGTCTTTTATATTTTTTGGGGGGGTTCACACCCGGCATTGCTCAGGGGTTATTCCTGGCTCATGCACTCAGGAATTACTCCTTGCGGTGCTCAGGGGACCATGTGGGATGCTGGGAATCAAACCCAGGTTGGCAGCATGCAAGGCAAATGCCCTACCTGCTGTGCTATCACTCCAGCCCCTGAGTCTTTTTTTTTTTTTTTTTTTTATGCTTTAGGAGTCCAGGGCCAGAGAAGTTGTACAGCAGGTCGGGTGGTTGCTTTGCACACGACCAATACAGACACAGGTTTGGTCTCCAGTACCAGTGTGATCTCTTGAGCCTTTTCAGGTGTGGCCCCAAAACAAAAGTATTAAAAAATTGTAATCAATTTATCAGTTATGGGCCACTAAGGTCACTTTTAGTTTTTAGCTTTTGTAAATAGTGCTTCCTTGTAAACACAGATTTTATGGATCTTTACAAATTTATGTTTGTGTGTTGGGATAGGTGCCAAGGAGTAGAATCACTGGATCATATGGAAGCTTTTTAATTTTTTTTAATTATTTCAAAAGTCTTCGTACTATTTTTCATAAGGGCTGGACCATATTGCATCCCCACCAGTGGTCATTTTGTGAATTCATTTTTCACTGCATCCCCACCAGTACTTCTTTTCCTTTTTGATATACTCCATTCTCACTGGTATTTGGTGTTGTCTCATAGTCATTTTCATTTTCCTGATAACCAGTGATGATAAACACTTTTTTGTTTGTTTTTTGTTTAGGGGCCATGCCTAGTGGTGCTCAGGGCTTACTCTTAGTTAGGGATAACTCTTTATGGGATTTGGGGGACTGTATGGTATGCTGGGGATCAAATCTGGGTTGGTCATTGCAAGGCACATGTTCCACCCGCTGTACTATCGCTCTGACTCCTGATGAATGCTTTTTTTTTTTTCATGTGTCTTGACCGTTTATATATCATCTTTGAGCAAGTATCTTAAACTTCTCTCCCCAATTTCATGGGATTCTAACAACTTAAGTATAGCTAAGTTTTCGTGTGTATTTTATTTTGGCAGAGGTAAGGTGTGTAGGGTATCTCCCAAGCAAAACTGAGGTGACCCTGGGGGCCCTATCAGTGATTCACAGCCGAGGCTGGTGTTGTGTTTGGGCCTTATAGTGCTGACCTTGTAGTCCTGCGGTTATCTGAGCCACTCTTTATCAGTCTCTGGGGTGTCCATGTGATGCCAGAAATTGAATCCAGTTTGGGCACGTGACAAGTTTGGGCATGCACCATAACCACTGTACTATCTCCCTGTCCCTTTGGTTTTTGGTTTTTTGGTTGGGTTTTTTTTTTTTTTCTTTCTGTTTTGTTTGTTTTTTGGCTATACCTGGCTCTGAGCTCAGGGATCACTGGTGCCAGGGATTGAACCCACTTCGGCTGCATGCAAGGCAAACTCTTTACCTGTTATATTCTTTGCTCCCTCCTCTTTATCATTTTGGGAATAGGATATACTGCTAGCTTCTGCATTTTTCAAAATCAATTGTACTTCCCAAAGGGAATTTTTGGAGCATGTTCTCTATTGTATGCCATTTATAAAATGTCTTTGCCATTGACAAAGGTTCAGAATTGTCAACATACAAAAAAATTAATTGATATGACTTATTTTTCAGGAAGCTGAAGAAATGCACATCAAAGCAATTCAGATTAAAGAGCAACTTCTTGGTCAAGAAGATTATGAAGTAGCCCTTTCAGTAGGACATCTGGCTTCTTTATATAATTATGATATGAATCAGTATGAAAATGCTGAAAAACTTTATTTGCGATCTATAGCAATCGGTATGTTTTTTTTTTATACATTTTCTTAGTTGTTCAGCGGTAACATGTTAATGTCTTATATATTGCATGTGACAGTGTTACTGTTAAGATTAAAAAGGTAAATCTACAGTTCAAGAAAATATCCAATAACGGCTTAAAATTATCTGGAACATCTTGCTAAGATGATTGATGTTGAAGCCGTAGTAAGAAATAAATATGGGTCAAAGGGAAAAAAAGGGGGCCTTGGGATAATGATGGAGAGATTCTGATTCTTGGAGGGCCTGGTGTAGCAATAGTATATGTATAAAATAATAATACTCTTACTACTTCTTTTATTTAAGAAATAAATTTACGGGGCTGGAGCAATAGCACAGTGGGTAGGGTGTTTGCCTTGCACACCGCTGATGGGTTTGAATCCCAGCATCCTATATGGTCCCCCAAGCACCGCCAGGGAGTGCATGGGCCAGGACTAACCCCCTGTGCATTGCCAGATGTGACCCAAAAAGCAAAAAAAAAAAATTTACAAGGGACTAGTAGCGGGTTAAGAGCACTTGTCTTGCAAACAGCTGAGCTGGATTTGATCTGGACATCTCATGTGGTACCCCAAGCACTGCAAAAATAATTCATGAGTCCAGAGCCAGAAGTAACCCCTGAGCATTGCAAAAATAAATAAATAAAACACCAGAAAAGAAACACGATAGTGTCAGGTATAGACAAAAGTACTTGCTTTAAACTGGTTTACTAACCCCATGCTCAGTTCCCCTCCCTCTTTCTTTAACATCTTAAAGCAGGGTTACGTATTTTTAAACTAGATGTGAATGAATTACACTGTAGTTGTCATCTAAAGTCATGCTTGCTGTTCCTTTAGGTTGGAGAAATAGCTCAAAGGGTTAAGCACACAATTTGTATGAAGTCATAGGCTTGTGAATGCTCTCAGCAGTCAGGGTGCATTCTTTGTGTGCACCAACTCCCACATTTAAATTCTGACACCACAGAACTGGCGCAGATCCACATGCGCAGACCCTGGTATTGCCTTGCAGGCCTGGTTGACCTGCAGGCTGGGAGTGACCCTTCAGTCCCTGAGCATGACGTAGTTTACCCCCACCCCTCTTCATCAATACCTCCACCTTCTTAAAATATATCTTTGGGATCCAGTTACAAGGTACATGATCCCAGTACTAAAAGCACAGTAACTCATTTGAAAGTCTGTTTGATCTTTGTGTAACATTCTTCCGATTCTTATTTAATTTGGGGGAGGGACAGAGAGGGCATACACAGGGTAGCTTACAACTCACTCCTGGTTCTGCACTCAGGAATTATTCCTGGCAGGCTCAGAGCACCATATGGGGTACCAGGGGTCAAACCTGGGTCAGCCGAATGCAAGGCTAATGTCCTACACGCTGCATTATTGCTTTGGCTTGGTTTTTATTTAATTCTTAAAAGTATATGAATTTTAATGCCCTAAAAGAATTATATAGAAAAGTAATCTCAAAAATGTCTAATTTTCCCTAATTTCTTCTGCCAATTTTCTATCCTTCAAACTGAGTGACCAGTCTCAACTTGTTTATAATTTATCCTTTCTGCATATTTCTTTGCACAGATACATAGATACATAAATTTTTCTTTTTTCTATTTGTTAGGCCAAAGCTACTGGCTATAGGTACTTTTCCTTCTTAAAAAAAAATTTTGATCTAATATATCAAGTCAGTCCATATCTTCATGGAGAGCTGAGCACTTTCTCTCTGTGTGAACCCTTAGTTTTCTATTGATAGATGTTTGTATCATACTTGATAGAACTGTTCTCCTATGTGTTTTTTTGTGGGGGCTATATCTAGTGGTACTGGAGACTACTACTTGTTAATGTGCCCAGGTATCATTCCCAACAGAGCTTGGGGCCGATGCCGGCCAGGAATCCAAGTGCCAAGTGTGCACTCCAGCCTCTTGAGTCATCTCCCAGCCCTACATATTTTTATTTCTAATATTTTACAGTTATAAATATTGCTACAATTAATGGTCTTGAACATATACGTCTTCCCCTGTTTTGGGGAGTTCCTGCCATCCTTCTATGAGATTTCTTTAAATCAGTCCTTTCAAAGTAGGAAATTTTGTAATTCTATTCTACTGAGGCCAGTAATGCATTAGACAAAAGGGGGGAAAATTAATTTTAGGTATGAGTTGGGACGGGACTAGAAGCACAGCTAAAAGATTTGAATTTATTCCTTCGAAGAAATTAAAGTAAAATATTCAACAATTAAATTTACAATGTCCAGAATGATAATACAGTGGGTAGGGCACTTGCCTTGTACCTGGCCAACCCAGGTTTGATCTCTGTCATCCCATGTGGTCCCTGAATCTCGCTAGGAGTGATTCCTGAGTGCAGAGCCAGGAGTAACCCCTGAGCATCTCCAGGTGTAGTCCCCAAACAAACAAAAAGGAACTTACAGAAACCGCTTCTTATTTGAACTTTCTCTTTTTTGATTACTTTCAGGGAAGAAACTTTTTGGTGAAGGCTACAGTGGACTAGAATATGATTATCGAGGTCTCATTAAACTTTACAACTCTATTGGAAATTACGAGAAAGTGTTTGAATATCACAATGTTCTGTCTAACTGGAACCGGTTGCGAGATCGGCAGTATTCAGTGACCGATGCTCTTGAAGATGTCAACACCAGCCCCCAATCCACTGAGGAAGTGGTGCAGTCCTTCCTGATTTCTCAGAATGTTGAGGGACCGAGCTGCTGAGGAAGACCTCAGCTAACTAATTTACCTTTTCCCAGATTCCAGGGAATTCATACTGTGAAATCAAAACCATGTTGTTTTTTTGGGGCTGGAATTTGCATTGAAACACTGGTCCAGTCCATTGGCCCTATTTGGGTGATCCCTAACTTGCAGAGTATCCGTAGGAATAAGCATATATTCAGTTATATTCAGCATGTATCGCATGTATAAGTAGTCTGGCCCATATTTTCAACCTAGTAGAACAAACAACAGGAAATCCTTTTTTTTTTCTTTTTAAAAAGTAATTCATTTTGCAGAAAGCCTGAAAGAAAAGAATCCCTAAATAAAACTATTTAAGAGTTTAAAAGAGTTGCATTCTTATTATGTAAGGATGACTTTAACATATTTTTAACATAAAATTCTTCCATGTGGAGGTATTCAATACTGTATTGTAAAGACATTTTATGGGGAAAATCTTTGTATGCAGTTTAGAAAAGTTAACACAACTACTAACAGAAAAGGGACATCCTGACTTAGAATTGACCACCTGTTTCCCCAGAAAGGAAATACAGCTACGCCTGTGCTGTATTTCAAGGAAAGAGCTGTCAGATTCATCTAAACTGGACCAGTGTTGATCTGTAAGTAAGAGAATAACTGATAGACCAGCAATTTTGATGCTTTGAGTTATTGTTGTTGGGGTTTTTTTCTTGGTGGGAGGGACTTTGGGGGGGGTTGGGATTGCTTTTTTTGTTTTTGGGGTGGTTTTTTTTTTCCCTTTGTTTTGGTACAACAATGCAAGATGCTCTGGTGGCATTTGCTAACAGGACCAGGAGGATCTAAAAAGGACCAGCCTGATGTAGAAAGGGGTTAGTTATTTGGACCAGAGGCTTTAGATTATTATTTTAGCCCCTGCACATAGTTTTATTAGAATTAATTCATTTAGATGTATAATGAAAAGTGACGATGCAAAAATCATATTCATTTAATAGTAAATTAAGGAAATTGGCAATTTCTGCGGCATATCTTTCTTTATTCAAGGTACACAGATGGCAATGCCAGAAGCAAGTCTACAGCTACCTGCTGCAGCCCTCCCCCATCATTTTCAGTGTAACCCTAATCAGCACTGTCACCAAGTAGATGGCTAGTCAGTGAATAGCTTGCGTGGGATGGGGATTTCAGATTCCTGTGTGGTTTGTGGGCATCGATGGTAAAGTGAATGCCACAAAATAAGCAGATATTGTTAGAAACCCTTGCATTTTTGTAGTAAAAGTAGAACAACAAGAAGTTATCTTATTGAAATTCAGTTAAATGGAAAAATCCCTAAATGATCCATTTATCACACTAATTTGTTTTTAAGCCAGTCAGGTTGTTTAAAGTTGAGGTAATGCTCCAATTTCAGAAGTTATGACATGTAGCAGTGGAAGAAACAAAAAGGTCTTTTTTTCTGTTACCTCAATTCTTATTATAGTGGCCTATATGGTGCCTCTGTAGTTAAGAATCAGGGTTTTCCCCCCTATTTTCAGGGGTCCATGACTTGGCTGTTAGAGGTGTTGCTCCTGGCTACTGTTGGGAGTGACATGGGGGTGAGTGACTGTGTGTTGAATTTTATTTTGTTTTGTTTTTAACATGCCTATTGGAGCGGGAGGGGTAAAATTTACCCATCGATATTGATTACAGAAAATTGAGAATTTCAGATGAGTTAAATTTTAAATACTTTTTTTTTAACTTCCCAAATACGATCTTTAAAAAAAAAAAAACTGTTATTTGCAGTCTGATTAGTTGTAAACCAGTGTTTGTTAAGTCTAAAGATGGGATTGAATGGGGTAGGTACCTGGTACCTAATGACATGAAGCAAGCCCAGATCTGTGATTTTGAAACCTGGGTTTATTCCATAAATTAGACTGTTTTAAAGAAGACTTTTTAAAGAGCATACTTGCACACCTCCCTATGTCTCCCAGATAGTTGCAGTCTAATGCAAGAGGCACCTCTTCATTAATTACCAAATAGTCTGTGTGACCAAGGACTAATAAATACTTAGCTCTATCCTCATGGGCCTATATATATAATACCTCCAAAGATATTTTCAGGGTAGGCTTTGTATACTTTTGTTATTTAGAGTCCTGTGGTATGTTGTGGATAGGAATGTCATGGTAAAATGAATTGTTTTTCAATAAATATTTTTTGAAACTTATGTTTCCATATGAAGTTTTTGGGTTTTTTTAATTACTTTTTTTTTTGTATGTGTGTGTGTGTGTGTGTGTGTGTGTATGTGTGTGCGCGCGCACATAAAACATTTCCTAGAATAAAACCAAGCAAATGACTTAAGGCCGTCCTCTAATTCATTTTGTATTCAGCTAAGCTCACACTCAGTGCTAAACTAACATATTTAGAATCACAGGGCAGTTTTCTTAAAAAAAAAAAAATTGGAAATTTCCCATGTTACCATTGCTTTAATTTACTTTTCTATATTACATACCTTAGGATTTAATGTTAACACAAGGTTGAGAAAAGAAATTGCCAGTTTCTGTAGTGATAAGTTTTTTAAATATGCTATTTCTAGTTCTAATGAAGAAAAATAATACCCGTATAATTTAAAATATGAAATTGATTCAGTAGTGAAGTTTACAGTAAGTTAAGTGAATGTCACCATAATTTTAGGAGATTAGGGAAAATAAATCTCATAGGAAGAATGAAATTTACCTCACTATAGCCATTAGCTTGCACAGAATGTTCACCTAAAGTGTGATTGTGTGTAAGGAGACCTACACCAATAAACAATTTTCTGAAAGCTTAGCAAAGTTATGTTAAATAACAGGGCTAAAAGCCTTGCCCTTCCCTAAGCTTTTTTTTTTCCCCGTCTTAACCCATCTTTTTTCTAACATATGGTGCTACTCAAAATGAGTGCATCAGTTAATTGTTAGAACTCTCATGAGCCAACACCTGGCTGTCACTCCTTGTTGAGTTTAAGAATGCAGATTGGGTTTTTAGGGGTCCTGGAAGCCGACTTTGCCTGGAACATTAGAACTCTAATCAAAGTCTGTCTGCTTGGTTAAAAATGAAGTTTCTTTGTAGTATAAGTGTGCTTTCATTTGTGAAAATAAAGAGATGTGACAACAATCTTTGTTCCTAGCCTATTGGAAAGGGGTCATAATTTTGTGAAAACTAAGTACACAATCTGTAATTTTATAAAGAGTGCTGTTTGGCTACTCATAGAGTATAAATAAAATACTGAACAGTAAACACCTAAAATACCTTTGAAGCTTTTGCCATACTTTACAAATTGAAATAACGGTTTGCTAGCTAGCAGGTATTAACTGCCACTTTTTTTTTTTTGGCCCAGAATTTGTAGCCTTGCTGCTTCCAAGCTGGGTGGTTTTTTGTTTTTTTGTTTTTGTTGTTTTTTCCTGGATGGCAAAATTACTACTGGAAAAAATACTTATTTATAAGTATAAACTTTAAGAATTTTATTTTGCTTTAAGAATCAATGTCTGTCTCCCCTTGGTTTTTAAAGAACCTTAGTACCTTAGTTTGTAGGAAATTTTTTGTCCTTTTCCTTTTAATCTGTCATGTGGATTAATCTCCAACTTAAACACTAGTAGTTTGTATTGCCCACAAATCTCAGGAATGTTATAGACAGAAAACTGGTCTTACCCTGTTGGTGATCTGAAGGAGTGTGCTTTAAGATTTATTAAGTAACCCTTTCATTTCAGTTCTAGGTAACTATAGCATGAGTGGCCTTGGTGAGTTTGTTGAAGTGCACATTTTTTTCAAAAGTAAAATTTAAGATTAAAAATATATGCTCTATATAAATATCTAGAAACTTGGTTGTGGTGCACAAGTCCAGTGTTGGGTCAGTCAATAACTGTTGCAGGTACCATTTGTGTAACATTACTCATTTCTGTATATTCCTTTTATGGGATATGTTGCCATGGTAATTAAACTGATTTTGTTCTACTTTTATGATGTGAATGAATGCTACATTTTATTAAATATTACCAGGTCAGTACTATTTTTATACTTTGTTAAGCAACTGGGGATTTTAACTTAATAGACTCAAAAGGAAAAGCTCTAAATGAAACAAAAACAAGTCACTAACAACTCTACATGAAAATCCCCACTAATAATAGTGCCATAGTAATTTCTATAGAAATACCTAAGTTCATGGATAGATTTTTGAAGGCAGTTCTTCAGTGTGTCAGAATGACCTTTCCTGTCATCCTTATCACCAACTTGTAGTGCCCACCATTACTTGTAACCATTAAACCATTGTTTGTAACCAACATTGTGATATATATTCTGTACTTGTATTGCTAAAAATGAACTATTGACCTAATAAATAATAGTGTTCCTGCAGTAATAGCGTGTCTGTGTCCATTTTTATTGTAGTTGTTTCAGTGTTGCAGAGTGCATTTTAGAAAGTAATGCAAGAATCTATTAGGGGTAAAACTAACCCTCTCTTGTCAAGAAAAGTGAGATGTATGACAGAGAAGGCACCTGGTAATAGTAGCTGGATATGGTGCTCAGGGAAAGTACTCTGGAAAAGGCAATGCATACTCTGTATTGTGGGGTATTACAGTCTTAATGACTATTCCAGAAGTCATTAATGACTTAAGTCATTAAGTTAGAAGGCTGAAAATGGGTGATAAGTCTGATATAATTCTCCTGGCAGTAGTAGAGGAAAACCCTTGACTTGGTTTGAGTTCCTAACTGTAGAATTAGAGTTGTCGTTATAAGCCTCTTGGTCTCATATTTTCTCATGTATGGTGGGTCAAATTGAGTCTTTTTAAAAATTTTTTTACATAAAGCATCATGAACCAAGAAAGTTTAAATAGCATGACTCTTAACAGTTGTAGGAAATAAGATTACAAAGAAATTGATTCATGCTTACACAAAATTCCTTTTCTTGTACTAATTCTAACTTCATTGCTAACCACTTTCAGTAATACTTGAACGGGTTTTCTTTGTTTTGGAGAGGGGAACCTTTTAATGTTTCTGTTTCTTTGAACATGCTGTTGTTCTGTTCTATGGGATACCATTTTCTGTGTGATGTTTACTGATTTCCTCTATCAGGCTCTAAACAGGGGATGTTTCCCTTAAACGTGTGGTTGCCTTAGGAGCCAGAGAGATAGTTTCAATTCTCAGGACCCAAGATGACTCTCCTGCTCCGGACCCACCAGGAGTGATCCCTGAGCACCACTCGCTGTAGCCCCAAAACAAAAAAAACAGTTGCTTTTCCTCAGTTCCTCTGTAGCATTTTAGTTAAAGCAATTGCCATAGAAGCATATATTTGCAAAATTAAAACTATTTCCAGCTTACATACTTGTGCTCTTATTAAATAAAGTTTACTCAACATCTTCTAAGTGTGTT